AACCATGATCACGCCACCGCCGGACACCCCGGGCGGTTTAAAACGGAAGAATTAGTGAAGAGGGATTATTGGTGGCCAGCCATTGGCACTTACATCTGCAAATATGTCGACGGATGCGCCTTGTGTCAACAAATGAAAGCCGATACACACCCCTCGAACCCCCCATTGCACCCCATTCCCTCCTCCGCTACCCGACCTTTCTTGCAGATTTCGGTGGATCTCATCACAGACCTCCCCATGTCTAATGGCTTTGACTCTGTTATGGTCGTGGTCGACCACGGGCTTACGAAGGGGGCAATTATTTCGCCTTGCAATAAAAACATCACCTCGGAAGGAGTAGCAAAACTATTCCTGAAGAACATCTTCAAATGATTCGGCCTCCATGACAAAGTTATCTCTGATCGTGGACCCCAGTTCATTTCGAAATTCTCTAAAGAACTAGCCAGACTCCTCAGATACCAAATCGCAGTGTCTACCGCCTATCATCCTCAGACCGATGGACAGACCGAGCGTCTGAACCAAGAACTTGAAACCTACCTACGAATTTATTGCAGAAACAACCCCCTGGAATGGTCGCACCATCTCCCCCTCGCCGAATTCGTTCACAACCACAGAAAGCATGATGCAAGGAATACATCCCCGTTTTTCCTGATAATGGGCTATGAACCAAGGGGGATTCCCCACGTTCTAGCTGTATCAGACGTCCCTGCAGCAGAAGAACGACTCAGAAACCTCCAGAAGATTCGTGAAGAAGCAATCGCTTGCCATAATCTAGCCATGCAACGAATGGCAGAAAGGTCTCGGAAGAAGAAGTACCAACCATGGAAGATAGGAGATAAGGTATGGCTGAACGCCACCAATCTCCTCACTTCTCTCCCCTCCAGGAAACTTGCGCCCAAGAGGCACGGGCCGTTCGAAATCACCGCAGTCTTATCTCCCATCACATTCACCCTGAAACTCCCCAAACAATGGAAGGTTCATCCCATGTTCCATGCTTCAGAACTATCGTCCTATCGCGAAACAGAGATACACGGACCAAACTACACCGAACCACCGCCTGACATAGTCAATGGCGAAGAAGAATACGAAGTCGAAGCTATTCTTAGCCACAAAGGAGCGGGAAAACGAAGACGCTATCTCGTATCTTGGACCGGTTATTCTTCCGGGAACAACGAATGGATACCCGAAGAGAATTTGCGGAGTTCGAAAGATCTCCTTGCAACGTATAAAGAGAGACACAAGTTGAACTGAACAAATCATTCCCTCAGACAAAACAAACATTTCTTCAGTAACATGACTCCTCCCCAGATGCCATCGCCCACCGAATCAAACATCTCCCATGTCTCTCTCAGAGATACATCCTATAAACAAAACATCATCAACATCGACAACGACGCCATTGTCGAAACCACTCTATTATCACTCGCCCATGCAGAAGAACTTGAAAGACAACTCGCCAAAGAACCTGCATTCGTTGCAGCCCCCATATTATCCCAGATCCATGTCATACGCGCCACTGCCGCCCTTGAACTCAGACTCAAAGAAGTCGAAAACGACGCCCTTAGACTTGCATGTCAACACATCCAGAGACGCATTCGCAGTCTTGAGATTCAGCTTCTTCCTGCTGCTTTTAGCACTGTCTGCAAAACAGTTATACAAACTGTTGCCGAACGGAACGCGACCGAGGTCGGTCGCCCGCCAAGCGCTTCTGCTAGCGCTCCCTCCAGTAGCATACCTGCTACAAATATACCTAGAGAAGAACCTCAGCCAGCTGCGCAGCCAGCACAGGCTGAAGAAGTATTACCCATCCCCAAGCCCGCCACCATCTACAGACGAAAGACCCGTAAGGGAACTATCATGCATGGAGTGACGAAGACTAGAGCTTCCAAAGGAAAGAAGCGCGAAGTTATTGACCTCACCGAATCCCCCGACGTCATCACGATAAAACAACCTCAGTTTTCCCCAGACAATTTCGTATGCCGCGTCTGCAAGAAACTCGGGCATCACCACAAGAACTGCCCCGAATACTATTGCCGTATATGCCAGGCTCATGCGCCTGGTCATTTTTCCATCTACTGTCCTTATGCTCCAAAGAAGGAGCAATTCCCATTGGTTTATACCGACGACGGCTTTTATGAGGCTTTGGCAGCATGGGAAGCCGGAAAAGATGAAGAACTCCTAGTGGAGTTGGATAGAGCAAATGCCAAGTACGACGCACTCCATTGGAACGAGGAATTAGAGTTCCAGAACACTGACGCAGACGTCGTCTACTACGCTCACATGGACGAGTACGTCAACCAGGATGATTAATGTCGAAGTCGGTGACTTTGACCGTAATAACGGGGTAATGTTACGATAACATTTACTCCTACCATTTCTTTCTTCATTACGTACTAAACGGGCTGTCCATACCTTTCTCTTATCCAAGCGGTGACCTGCACCAAACTGGTTCGGTGCATGGATGACTGATACTCTCCTATGAGCCCTATGCCCTATGAAATCATTTTCTCTATGATCTGAAGTCAGACTGAGGCTAAGGGAATATTTTTCGTTTTTACGAGTTTGCATGCTAGCGGACTGAATATTTTAGTACATTTAATTTGGCAATGAGTTTTGCTTAGTCAGCCATGGTGATGACCCAGACAAAACTCCCACGCATGTCAGGTGACTGTGAAAAATATTTCCCACATATGTTGTCCTGGAAAAACATTCATAAAACCCTAAATACTAGGCTCGCGTCATTTTCACCCTTCAAACAAAGCAAAGAAAAGACAGACACACAAAGGATTCACATCATGTGACATTTCTTACTCTCTTTCTGGACTTGTCATCAGGAGTTGGATAGGTCACATGACTAGCAACAAGCCAGGATGACTTAGCAAAATACCCAATGACTCATTATGACTCACTCTGAATATATGACTCATTATGACTCTTGAATATACTAGTAGCACAGCCACATTTATTGTGTATATAATGACCCCAGTTTTGAAATAATAAAAAAGCAACCAAGTAGCAACCAAGTGGGAGTTTTCAGACCATCTAACATTAAGTTGTGAGTAAGGTGTGATAAGTGTCAGCATCAGTGTCAAGAACTGTTCAAGACTGAGAGGAACATTCTCAAGAGACAGTAATACTGCAAGCTCATCATACTAAACGACTAGCTGCGAGCTCACTGTGTGCAACAACCAGCAAGCAAGGTACAGCCACAGTTTTATTCAAATTTCTATTTTCTTTTTCTTTTCTTTTCTCTTCTGTTTTACTTTCACCAGCCTTTGGTGTTCTTTTTCCAAAAAGCATATTCCAAAATATTCGTGTTGTCTCTACGTCCACCTAAGACTCAGAGTAGCTTAGTGGGGAGACTTAAGGGATTGATAGTGAAGCTTGACCTCACTCATCTGAGTAGTGATACTGAGCCAAGGTTTTCTGTGCCTGCTAGGCTTTAGCTGTTGAAGAGGGGACTTGGTAGTAAATCCAAGGACGTCCGTTCCTGAGTCTGTTTGAATACTCAAAGTGAGTTCCTTGACAGCAGGTTCAATATTGAGCTAAGAGTTCTACAATAAAGCATTTGACTAGTCTTGACCTTTGATTCTACCTGTTTTGTGCTGAGGGGGTTGATCATTGTAATTCCGCACCATTCTTTTTGGAGTACAGTGAGCTAAGAGGCACTGTTGTTGAAAGGAAGCTTGAGGAAGAACTTTCTATTTCTTTGGTTACTGCCATACTGTCGGGCTGACCATTATTTGTTTGTTTGTTTGTTTCTGTCAAGTCCATAGATTGGATTGACCATTGTATTTACTGATCTTGCAGAAGTATCTTTAGCTGAACGTACTTTGGGTAGTATACAACTAGCCACCCACGAACGACCACGTTATCAGTCATTGGTATTTGTCTGAATCGCTGACCGTGGAGATATTTGTTTTTATAGGTGTTTATCTATAGATCATCTATCTAAGAAGACAGCGGGCCGTCCGCCCTATCTCTTATCTCTTATCCAAGCGGGCCGTCCGCCCTATCCCTCTTATCTTGATAACACATTTACAAGCTCCGCTTGAACATTACCTATATAGACGGTACTATGCACGATTGTATTCTTCACTTTAATCTACTGGGTTTTACCTGGAACATTCCTTCAACAAGGCCTTCAACCTTGTTGTCTAAGAACCACGATTCTAAGAGAGTCAGCAACACTCGTCTTAGCCTAGATCCTTGATCCTCTCATTCGAGAGCAGACTCTTGTCTATCAGGCTTACCGCCGATTGTCCATTCGGACTCTGATAGCTCGACCAATCCCAGTCGTAACACATATCGGTGTCGACAACAAGGTAATCAGTACTACCATCCAGCATGAGGAAGGCTCCACAAATAATTGACCTTACTGAAAAAAACTCAGCTTGTGCGTGGGGTCTTGCTCAAACACGATAGAAGTTGAGGTGTTTGTCTTTTCGGAGCCGGATGCCAGTGGGAGCATCAAACGGATGAATGAGAGCTGATGAGAGAGTAATATCTCCCACTGCACATTCAAACAGAAAGAGCAGGCGACCGAATATCACCTTGTCTGTCATCTGAATGAAAACACAATCAAAATGCGGAGTACCATAGAACTTGGGATTGCATCGAAGATAGTCTGTGTGTTGTCACCAATCCACCATGAACTCATAGTTGACCTTCAAAAAACAGCACTCAGTAATAACCTGTTTGACCATATCAGTGTAGCAAAACAGAGTTGGACTGAATATAATGAACCTTATCACATGCTCGGAATTTGACCTGCTTTCCACCTGGTAAAGGGAGTTGAATAGCTAGTAGAAAGCTGTTCAAAAACTCATTGAGCTTGACCCGAAAACTAGTGAATGCATGTCCTCCTTATGAGCATCCTCAATTGATTCAAAGGTCTCCGCAGCCTGCCTTGATCCAAGCTTTACACAAGGTGAATCTGTATCATTTGATGGGACCAAATTGTCCGCATCATTTGAATCCTCATCCAAGTCTTTGCTGTCTCATGACTCATACTCATTGAGGTCTGATATGTGGCGGCGAATGCTCTCAGCTGCCACTTGCCAGTGGTTTATGCGCAGTATCTGAAATGAAATCAATACCAACAATGATAGTTAAAGTAATAAAATGTCACCTGTGGCGCCACATCCCTGAAATTGGTGCGCAGTAAGTACAAGTCTTTCAGCGACCCGTGCATCTTCTCATTCGGCTTTGTGTTGTAGTTACGTGTTGCACCTTTCACTTCAATGTTATCAAAGATGTGCGAGCTCATGTGCAGTTTGGGGAAGTTCCAATTTTTATCGCTCTCATCGGCACTCTTGTCTATGTATTGCTATTATAAGTTCAATCAATGAATGATCATCTGAGGGAACACGAGAAGACATACATGTAGATAGGTCGAGAAAGCTTGTATTGCATGCCGGCTGGCACTGATGGTCTCAGTTGTATGAACTTCAAGTGCTGCATACGCATTGAGTTCGAGAAAAAGGCAGATACAACAGAGTAGGAGGTAGCCAAGCAGACAGTCATCCTCTGTCAAAATTGTGTGTGAAGCATGGATCACCATCTAAAAAAGAGTGTCAGTGGCAATCAAGTAGAAATCTGAAAATGATTTTTTGTAGTTCAGCCCAGAGATAGTCACGATATAGACCACCATTGAAGTGGAGTTGATCCCATGACAATGCATCATGTACATCAGTGTACATCACAGTTGCAAAGGCATCCTGCAGCTTCATTTAATCAAAAATGGATTTACAAGAGGAAATCTTACTGTGATATGACGAAGGCCATACTCTTTTAGTTTCTCCTCCTTCTCCTCAGCAGTTTCCTTGGCCTGTGCAGCCTTTAAGACTTCCTGGGACTGAGCACACATTCGATGAGGATGACACTTCAATGTGTCCAAAAGTTTGTCGTGGGGAACGAGACAGACTGGACATGGCCAAAGGCATTTGATGCCTCAGATCAGCGACATAACACATCTTAAGTACATGATCCATTAGCAATTCAGATTAATATGGAAGTGTGACATTACTCACTGTTCCTCATAGTCAGCCAATAATATTAGGATGAAAGGAAAGAACCACCATTGAACGCTATCAAGGCACTGGAACCATTGTCCTGTGTGAGACTTTGATGCTAGTGGAGAGAGGATCTTTAAGAATGACTCGTGCCAAACAGCATTCTTGAAGTTGACCCAGCTTGGCTTGCCGGCGTGGTCTCTGTCTTCCTTCACCTGTGCCAGAGTGTCAGTCCTAATGGTCAGTATATTAATACTACAGCCATGTCATACAATCGGAAGCCATCCAACTACATAACCACCACCTACACCCTGTCCATTATGAATGTCTGTAGGTAGGTTTGCTAGACGTGCAACAATGGGATATCCTCTTGCAGTACCGAACGAGGATAACCTAGTTTTGTCAGCATACAAAATGAAAGCTAAGGGCTTGCCACCCGGTGGTAGCTGAGACTATGAGGCAAATGAATACGATCAAATTCCCCACAGGTGACATAAATACATACTTGAACATTCCAAAAGGTGTTGGCAGTGAAAGGTTCATCTGTAAAATGTATGAAAGTCTTGCCATTTAACTTTGAGAAGCACTGCACATCAAAAACCATATGTGGGAACAGTCAAGGATCACAAAGAAGATCAGCTGCCCACTCCCAGAGATCCCGATAGTATAAATCAAATTGTCAGATTGTATCATTGTATGGTACAGAAATTATGTCCTGAGTAAACTAATAAAACTCGGGAGTTGTCAGGAATTGATGTCAGAAAGAACGAACCCCAGTGATGTGATTGGAGACAGCATCCCATGTGTTGCGGATGTCTTTGTGGTTCTGAAATGTGAATTTTTCCTCCCAGGAAGTGCACCGGTTACAGAACTTGATAAGACAATCAGTTTGTTCATTATTTAGGCAAGCCTCCAGAGCAAGCTCAGCAATCTCAAACTCCAGTCGTGATTTGAATGGAGCCCAAGGGTGTTTGTCAGGTGATATAGATGTCAAAGGTGTTGGACGGCATTTGAAATCGTTGAAAGCATGTACTTCTGGTGCCATCCCACTGCTGGGATGATATTCACACTTGATGTCATCGACCTGGAACATCGGGTCTGCGTGTTCAGGGATGTCGACATCAAGAAATGAGGTAGGTTCTAGCAAAGTTTTAATGGTGAATAACAAACATAACGAATGATAATCTGAGCTTACCATTGAGCTCCACATTGTCTAAATCATTTCAAGTGCCTGGTGAGACATGTTGTCCTGTTATAACTTGAATATGATTAAAAAACACGCTAAAGGGCACTTACCTCTCTGTCCTGACACCATATCAGTATGATCTCCTCTCGAAATTTGTCGCGGATTTGAGGGACCCGCTATTATGAGTAGAATTAGAGACTGTAAATAACAAGAAAATGTGCATATGTCACGAGTTCCAAATACAAATCATTATACATTTCTAAATTCCAAGTCCTTTAAGCGCCCAGACATAGCGCCGTCTCCTAAGAATGTATTTACGGTTGAAGAGATACCCACGACTGCATCTATTGTAGAAGTACCAAAGTCACGTGATCTTTCGGAAGATGCCGAACTAGATGACCTCACACCATGTGATCCTCTTGGAATGTTCCAGAGTCTTACTGCGGCTGTGACACGTGTCATGACATCATAAGTTATATATAGAATCGTACGATACCTTTGATTATTCTGATTGGTTAGTTAGTTCATACTCAGTTTCGATCTCAGTTTCAATACATGTATATAGGTAGCGTCTTGTAGTCAGTAGTTCTTTAGTTCAAACCTCTTGTATCTCCAAGTGAGCAATCCAAGACATACCTGCTGCCTTATCCTCTTTGTGATTATCTTGTTGTTTGAGTCCTAGTCTCTGCCCTGCGTTAATTCGTTTAAGGGGTTGTGACATTAGGTTTGAACTATAGGAGACTCCGACTCTCGTGTTACACTCTCACACATCTCTTTCTCTTGCCTGGCCTTGTTGAAAGTTCTTCACATCATCAGCCAAGACAAAGCCGTTATACTCTTTGCCCGGTCTAAACAACCGCGACCTTTTTGAAAAACTCCTTTGCTCATTTGAGCGCATCCTTCATACCTATCCGCTTTATTAGTTAGTAGTCCTATACCAGGCCCTGTCTTACCACAGCCGCCAGTATACGGAGGAGTTGACGACATTAGGCGTCTCTCTACAACTTTGAGTGCTGGCCCAAGACCCTGCCTGCTCAACGTTACTATAGTTTCCTTTTACCCTATCCTTTTTCTCTACGCACGTAGGCATTCGCTTCGAGTCAATAGCGGAACTGTCTAGACGACAAACCGTGCTTTCGACCTACGAGGATTTAGAGACATACCCTAGTGAGACTCGCACGTGTAAGCTTCGGCTGGAAGCGTGATAACTTGTCCTAGGCTTGTACCCTCAAAACGGAGATTGCATTGTCCCTAGTTTTTCCCACTCGATTGAGTATAGATTCCGACCTTTTGTAGTTAGTATTAGGGAAGCGTCAGTGTGGGATTTTACCAGAACCCCTTGACCCTGAGCCAGTGGTAGATCCGATCAGATATCGGGGACCGCTCAGTTTTCCATTACATAACTTTCTTCTTTCACCATCATTCCCTTTCGGAAGAGCCCTTACGAGCAGCTCTTCAAACAGACATCAGTAAATCGGGTTCCAGAAAACAACTGGTACTATGTCTGAACTAGCATCCACATCAGCGCAACCTGCACCACAGGTAGTACTGCCTACGACTCCAGAACAAGTAGTGCAATACATACACCAGGCGCTAGCAAACCAGGCGGACCAATTCAGAGGCAAAATCCTGGAGCTAGAAGCAAAGAATAGGTCCCTGGAAAAGGCCAACAAAGACCTGGCACTACGCCTGGAAATGCAGGAAGACGAGACTATGAAGATACAGTCTCAAACATCCTTCGGCTCCGCAGGAGCAACAATGTTATCATCATCCCCCCCCTCCATCAAATACGCCAAACCCTTGGACTTCACAGGAGAAAAGGACCCCATAGAACTTCAAACTTGGATGGCACAAGTAGCACTATATGCGTCGCAATGGCCAACAATCCAAGAGGTCCAAAAAGTAGGGGTCATGCTTTCCTTCATGAAAGGTGCCGCAGGCAAATGGGCACAACCATATATTGCCAAACTCTCGGAAACAGGAGAAGACAGGTTCACAATGGAAGGTTTCAAGGCAGACCTAGAAGCTATGTGGGGCCAAGAAGACCGAGAAGGAAAGGCAGTCCGAGAGTTGGAATCCCTTAGGCAAGGATCTTCAACCATTCCCGAATATGTGGCTGCCTTCAAACAAAAGGCCGCATTAACATCTTTCTCCGACTATGATCAGAGACAAAAGTTCAGAGCTGGACTTCAAGATCGCGTCAAAATGCAGCTCGCTCATGTCCCTTACAAGGACAAAGACACCATGAAGAAACTGGTGGAACATGCAATCCAAATCGGACGCAACTACGAGGAGCTAGACGCAGACAAAAAGAAGACGAGCTGGTGGACCCCGAAACAGGGCACCAAGAACTTCGAATTGAAAGCTAGTCCAAGCAAAGATTCAGACGCCATGGACGTTGACTCCGGAAAGCAGAAATGGGCCCCAAAGCCCCAAGGAAAGACTGGATCTTTCAAATGTTACCGCTGCAGAGGAGAAGGCCATATGGCAAGAAACTGCAAAGACGCAGTCGCGCCCAAAGCGCAGGTGAAGGCTACTACAGTGCCAAAGGAAGAAAACGCAATGCTGCAGTGGTTCAAAGATTGGACTGCTAGCAAAGAAGGCAAGGGTTTTTAGAAGGGTCGAAGTCAAAGTCTGCGAACTTAGACTCGAACAATCGTTTCTCTATCCTATCTACCTTCTCAGATGTATCAGAAGTATTTATTAGATCCAAATCTGAGCATTTTTACATTCCGATTACGTTGAAAGGAAAGAACTGACAAGCAGACGTGAAAGCATTAGTGGACTGTGGAGCATCAACATTATTTATCAGTGAAAAATTCATAAAAAAGAATGAGGTCCAATGCCGTAAATTATTAAGGCCCATTCCGGTTAAAAATATTGATGGCTCATTAAATGCTGCCGGATCGATGACACATTTCGCAGAATTAGGTCTAAAGATCGGTGACCATGTGGAGGATCAAGCAGCCTTCATGGTTACGGACCTAGGAAGTGATGATGTTATTATCGGCATAGATTGGCTAAGATATCACAATCCGGAAATTGACTGGAACACTGGACGATTTGCACTTTCTCGATGCCCGGTTAAATGTATTACGAAAAAAGAACAAAGACAAAAAAATAGAGAAAAAAGAAAAGAACAAAAAAAGACAGAAGAAGTGCCAGATCTGATTCCCACAGAAGAGGATGACGAAGAAGACATGGCGATGAAAAGGGCGACGGTCGAGGAAATAGAAGATGAAGAGTATCCAGGAGAATGGATCAAGTATAAAGCCTCGGTTGCCATGGAGCAGAAGGTCGCAGAAGAAGCGACGAAGGTGAAGAAATCGGTTGAAGAAATGGTTCCCGATTGGCTTCACAATTACCTGGGAGTTTTCTCAGAAGAAGAATCTAAGCGCTTCCCTGAAAGAAAGAAATGGGATCATGCGATAGATCTTAAAGATGATGGCGATCTTCCGCCAAATGCGAAACCCTACCCCTTGTCACCAAAGGAGATGGACACCTTGAAAGATTGGTTGAAGGCTGAAACCACACTGGGACGTATTAGAGATTCACAGTCTCCAGTGGCAGCACCTTTCTTCTTTGTGGCCAAGAAAGATGGCAAGTTAAGACCGGTGATGGACTATAGAAAGCTCAATGAGAAAACGGTTAAAAATGTGTACCCGCTACCGAGATCTCAGGATTTAATTGATGCTTTAACCGGTGCCACGATGTACTCGAAAATGGATGTATGATGGGGGTACAATAACATTCGCATGAAAGAAGGAGATGAGTGGAAGGCGGCCTTCAAAACGCCGTTTGGTCACCATGAACCAACCGTGATGTACTTTGGGTTAACGAACTCCCCTGCCACGTTTCAGACTATGATGAACGAAGATATTCAGAGATCTAATTGATGGAAAGACCGTAGTGGTCTATATCGATGATATACTCGTGTTCACGAACAGCAGTAGGAGCAACACCAGAAAGTTGTATGAGAGGTACTAAAGCGACTAAAAGAAAACGATCTGTATCTAAAGCCAGAGAAGTGCAGCTTTGAACAGTCGGAAGTCGAGTTCCTCGGGTTGATCGTGGAGAAGGGTGGTGTTCGAATGGACCCTGTGAAGGTAGAAGGAGTAATGAAATGGCCTACACCTAAATGCGTTAAAGATATTCAAGTGTTTATGGGTTTTGCCAACTTCTACAGAAGATTTATCTTTGGGTTCTCGGATATCGCTAGACCAATGAATGATTTGCTATGAAAAGATGCAAAATGGGATTGGACGGAGAAACAGCAAGATGCTTTCGATGAACTGAAGTCAAGGTTTACATCGGCTCCAATTTTAGTCATGCCTAGTGTTGAGAAGAAGATGAAAATAGAAACTGATGCTTCTGATTATGCAACCGGAGCAGTTCTATCTCAACTAATGGAAGACGATTTGTGGCATCCCGTTGCGTACTACTCTAAATCGATGAATGATGCAGAAAGAAACTATGACATCCACGATAAAGAGTTGTTAGCAATTATTCGAGCATTGGAGGAGTGGAGGCACTATGTGCAGGGAAAACCCCAACATGTGGAGATCTGGATGGATCATAAGAATCTCGAGTATTTTATGACGAGTCAAAAATTGACAAGAAGGCAAGCCAGATGGAGTTTATTCCTGGCGGAGTACGAATTTACGCTCCAACATAAGCCTGGTGTGGTTAACGATAAGGCAGACCGTCTATCTCGGAGAGAAGACCACAGAGAGGGGGTAGAAAATGACAATTCTGATCGCGTTCTGTTAAAACCGGAGTTTTTTACTGTAAAAGCTGCTAAAAGAGGTCAAGTTCTAGTGCAAGGAGAAAAACAATTGCTGAGAAAGATAAGGCAATGCACAGAACAAGAACCTGAAGTCGCTAAAGCGTTAGAAACATTGAAAGCGGCACCGGTACAACTACGCAGAGGGATTGAAGAATGGAATGTTGAGGATGGATTGGTGTTATTCCGAGGACTGGTCTACGTTCCAAACGATAAAGAGATCCGCCGAGAGATATTGGAGTTGTTTCACGACTCTCCACCGGCTGGACACCCAGGACGAGCCAAAACCTTAGAGTTGATTTCCAGAAATTATTGGTGGCCTTCAATGACGAAGTATGTCCACGATTACGTAGATGGCTGTGATAGATGCAGAGCAACAAAGATTCACCCAACGCAACCACACGGTCCGCTGAAACCAAACGAAGTACCAGCGGGACCTTGGCAATCAATCACTTGTGATTTGATAGTAGATTTGCCTAAAAGCGAAGGGTTCGACTCTATTTTTGTCGTCGTTGATCGATACACAAAACAAACGCACATCATGCCTACAAAAAAGGAAGTTGACGCTCGAGGAATCGCGAAACTTTCCTTAGATAACGTATGGAAACACCATGGAACTCCGAAACAGGTGATATCAGATAGAGGAACACAATTCGTCTCCAAGTTTATGGGACAAGTGTCGAAACGCCTAGGCATAAAATGGAACATGTCAACGGCTTATCATCCTCAGACAGATGGACAAACGGAAAGGATAAACCAAGAAGTCGAGCAATATCTGAGAATGTTCACGTCTTACCGCCAAAATGATTGGGTAGACTGGCTTCCGATAGCAGAATTCGCTCACAACAATTCCGTCACTGTAACCGGTCATAGTCCATTCAAAGTACTCTACGGATACAATCCAGAGTTTACTTTTTCACCAATTTCCAATTCCAAAGTACCTGCAGCTGATGAACGAGTGGATGTAATGAAAGAGGCGAAAGAAGACGCAGAAAGTATGCTGCGCATGGCTAGTGAGCGGATGAAAAGATTCTACGATAAAGGAGTAAAAGACGCACCACAGTTCAAGAAGGGAGATATGGTCTGGCTCAATGCCAAGAATATTCATCAGAAAAGACCGAATAAGAAACTCTCCGACCGAAGACTTGGTCCGTTCGAAGTGCTTGAGAAGACGGGTGATGTAAATTACCGCCTGAAACTTCCAACAAAATATCAGATCCACCCAGTATTCCATGTAGAATTACTCACTCCGCATTCCCCCTCGACCTTAATCCAAAGACCTCCACATCATCGTCCGCCGCCAGAGATCGTATCAGAAGGCGATTCCGAATGGACAGTACGAAAAGTCCTAGACTCGAGACTGCACAGATCAAAACTCCAATACCTAGTAGAGTGGGAAGGATATCCGATAGAAGAAGCGACATGGGAACCTGAAGAGAACCTCGAAAATGCACGGTTGAAAGTTCAAGAATTTCATCGGCAAAATCCGAAAGCATTGAATCCCCGCAAAATTAATAAATCGGTGTTCGAAACACAGGAATTCTTGGAATGGCGTCGAAACTTTATCCACCCAAATGTCTTTCGCGATGACGCTCAACCTAGAGAGGGGGTAATGTCACGAGTTCCAAATACAAACCATTATACGTTCCTAAATTCTAAGTCCTTTAAGCGCCCAGTCACAGCGCCTGTTACTAAGAAAGTATTTATAGTCGAAGATGTCCCAACAACGGCGTCTATTGTAGAGTTACCTAAAGAACCTATGAACGAGTCACGTGACTTATCGGAATATGCCGGACTAAACTTTATTCCAAACGACCCTGACAGAATGTTCCAGAACCTTACGGTTGCTGCGGCACACGTCATGACATCATAGTTATATATAGAATCGTACGATATCATCTTATTATTTGATTGGTAGATAGTTCAGACTCAGTTTCGATCTCAGTTACAAATATGTGTATATAGGTAGTGTCTTGTAGTCAGTAGTTCTTTAGTTCAAACCTCTTGTATCTCCAAGTGAGCAATACCAAGATGTACCTGCTGCCTTATCCTCTTTGTGATTATCTTGTTGTTTGAGTCCTAGTCTCTGCCCAGCGTTAATTCGTTATTGGGTTGTGACAAGTTTGATACATAGTCACCATGACAACTAACAACCTCTTTCCGATCATAGATTTCGTTTAGTTCCAACTTTCGGTAATGGGGTAATTCGGATGTTTGCAAATAACACATCCGAGATGAAGAGACTAGCGGCGCGAGATTTCGAAGACATGTTGCAGGTTTCGTGACGCTTACTTGACTATTCTCTCTAGATTGCTGATGGCCCTTCTTCAGTGTGCAATACCTGTGTTCGAAGGGCTATTTCCTGCTAGTCATGACATGATTATACAGTCTCTCTTATACAGATTCGCCCAATGGCACGCACTCGCTAAGTTAAGAGTTCATTCAGAGTCGACCCTGGGTTTTTTTGAAGAAACATTCAAAAATCTCTCCAAGCAGTTGCGAAAGTTCCGTGATTTTACCTGTGCTGCTTTTGACACGGTGGAATTACCGAAGGAGAAGGCAGCTCGCCGACGAAGATTCGCTCAGCATGGTGGACTTAATGCTACTTCTTCAGAACCAACTGGACCGAAGGTAAAAAGATTTAATTTGAGTACCTATAAGTTTCACGCTATGGGAGACTACGTGCGAACCATCAAACTCTTTGGTACCACAGATTCATTTACTACTCAGATAGTAAGTCTTGTGTCTTCCCTCAAGTGTGATTCTGAAGTTGTGTTATTTGTTAGGGGGAGCTAGCACATAGAGCTTTAAAAGCATTCTATCCGCTCACTAGCAAGCTGGATACTTCGGCCCAACTAGCGAAGCATGAACGCCGCCGCCGCGTACTACGGCGAGTCGCAGAGGCAGCAGGTATCTCTCCCTCAAACATCCACTCACCGGCCGACTCTCCTGCTCTATTGCCGTCCAATGACCATCATTTTATCGCAAGCAACCGAAATAACCCAATGTCTTTGTTTGCATTCCTCCGGGAACACGATGGTGATGCTGCTACTAAGGTAACACTAGCGCTTTGGTTCAGTCGGCTGCCAGTCTGATCACGATGGCTTCTAGAACTTCATCCCAAAATTGAAGGACCATATTTTGTATAGGCTGAAGAAATTATCCATCGATCATTGCGACCATATATTCACGAATGAGGAACATAACTCAGTCATAATCCCTAACAATACAGTCTACTCCGTCCAGACGATGCAGGTACACTATACAACTTACGATATGAGGCGCGAATACGACACTATCAACCCCAACACTCATGCTGATGTTATGGTGCTTTCAGGAGAAACCTCGCCTTCCCACCCATACTGGTACGCTCGTGTACTAGGGATTTATCACATGGACACCTGGCTCGAAGGTGTCGGTTCTGCCCAGAAACAGCACCTCGAGGTCCTCCATGTCAGGTGGCTCGCGCCGTTAATATCTTCAGACTATCGGTCAGGCATGCAACGTGCCCATCTTCCCAAAGTAGCATTTGTGGAGGAGTCGGACTGTGATGCGTTCGGATTTCTTGATCCCGGACAAGTGATACGAGGAGCTCACCTAATTCCTGCATTCGCTTGTAAACGCGGTGTAACTTCACTTCGCTATGGAAAATCGTTAGCACGTGCCGAGGGCGAACTAGATGACTGGGAAGCCTATTACGTTGGGATGTAAGTGCAGTATGTCTTGTGGCTTAGCATCGAATGATTCTGATCTGTCAAAATTAGTTTTGTTGATCGCGATATGTTCCTGCGTTATACTCACTTAGGTGTAGGCCACCCAGTGGCTTTACGGAGAATCGTTAGAGACTGTTTTGCCCCCGGCGAGTCAATGATGCCTGAAAAATCGGAGGCTATGGATGTGGATGAAGGCGGAAGCAATGGTAAGGACTACAAGGAAGACGATGGCTCAGATGACGAACAGATGGACTTGGATGACGACCAAATTGGTGAGTCCGAGTCAGAAGACGAATGTGATGAAGTAGGGGAAGAGGAACTTGGAGATGACGAAGATCCTGACGGCTCTGAGTTTGACGGGGAAATTGAGGAAATGTTTGATAACCTCTCGTTTTGATATCCAAGTCATTTCACTATAGCTACTAGGTATCCGGCGCTGGGATAACGATTGGCTGACGGACCAGACGTGTAGCCATCGGTGAACGCATGACTTTCTTCAGTATATCTTAGAATTCATAAATCGCGTTTGGTTTTCAAACGAGAGAAGTTCTGTAGCCTCTAAACGTCCAGGCATCTGCCAGTGTGTGCGTGAATTATTTACCTTTTTTGTCAAAGACCATCTGAGACACATCCGAGTCTTGTGCGTTTCGTCCTCCCACCTCACGTATTTTGTCACATCTCTCTTTGTTCTTCTGTCGTCCTTGGTCGTTGTATTCGATTTCAGGTGCGATCTCGCATTAGAGATGTCACGGTAGACTGACTCGAGCAGCAAGTATTTAGTTTACTGGAGAAGCACGAATATACGGTGAGATCATTGTGCCTCTCCCCAGATGGCAAGAGACTCACAAGCGGGTCATTGGCTGGCAGTCTTGAAGGTGATGGGGATTACGGTAGACGCGACCCGGCCCTCGTCCGTGGATTTAAACACCATTCGAGGACCGCGAGCCACTCAGGCTTTAATACCAAAACTTAAAGCCTAGAGCCTGTACAAGGCCTCTCCATGCACGCTGTCCTTGTCCGCCACTTAGTACAGTCCTCCCCGAATGGCAGGTATCTAGCTACGACAAGGTGCGTTGTGACAAGTTCGTCGGAGCTTCTCGTGCTGAAGTGAAGCATTAGATTGGGATCGATCTTCCGTCATCTTTCGTGATGAGGTGAGCATATGAAGTGCCACGTTTCCATACTTATTTACACTATTCCTGCCTACTACATTAGCAAAACCGCCACCACCTGTCAAGAAGGCCGCTATAGTGCCTACTACTGCTTCCGCGTCAAAGCCAACAGCCATGAAGAAAGAGACGAAACCTGTTCTCGCCGTCAAAGATGCTTGTTCCGATTTCTCATTTCTTTTCTGCGCCGAAACCGAAAGCCAAATGACCAAGCTTCAAGAAAGCCCGGCGCCTGTCAAGAAGGAGCCTGATCTCAATGTTGTGCAACCATCGTCGATCGATCCGTTCCAGGAGGCATTGAAGTCGATGGGTAAAGGGCGTAGGGACTCTCCAGTAACGGCCACACCCCCACCAGCTTCGATGACGATTACGCCGCCCCTGGTGACTTCTGGAAGAACAAAGAGAAAATCTGGCTTGGGCTCCTGATGGTTAGCTAGAATCGATCCGGCTGATAGAACGAGCTGTGTACGATGATGACCCTGTTAATGTCAGCATTCTACTCTCGTTTTTTATGCTGGTGTACAGTACTTATATTGATGTCACGAATACCTTTGTGTATTTTGTTCACATAGAATATCCATACTGCTCACAGTTTGCGCGATCTGGATTGGGGAGAGGGTGCTGCTCCACATGCTCCCCTATTCGAAGAAGTTATCGATTGGACGGATCCAATAAGTGAGCAAATTATCATCATCATCATGAATCGCCACCAATTAATAAACGCAATCTATAGCTCTCGAATTCGATCTCGAAGCGTCCCAACGCGGACAGAATAGTACAGAAAAGACTACTCAGGAGGAGCGTAAGCAAACAGCTTTAGGTGCACTATACATGTCGTCAGCGCAGATACTCCCAGAGGATGAGGAAAATTGGAAGGAAGTGCCCCTCGATTGATTCGTGCTTTGAAATTGGTTTCACTGGATCTCTTAGTTTGATGAGGACTCGTATACCGCCTTTGAGTAACTGACCATCTGGGTTCTTTAACTTCTTGTTCAATGTGACACATATCGCCTCAATATTAGCACAGATTGTCCGAAGACCATTTGGACGAGTTTAGTGACTGTCGCGAATTGATTCCAGTTGTTAACTTACTAATTCGGGTGTCTGCATAGCACACCCGCTGCGCCTCAAGACACCTACAATTTGAGAAAGATGAACAATATTCATGGTAGTGAGCTTTCATCCCTTACTGTCTGTAACGGCGGTATGTCGCAACTCTGCCATAAATCGCCAGGCTAAACTATAGTTTTTGACTGGTGCTAAAGCCATTATCTCTCAGAAAGTCACAGATAACATTAAAATCGAGGTAATATTTGGTGAGAACTGAGAACGACTAACAGCATCAACGCTAGTGAGCTTTCATCCCTCGTTGGCCGCACCGGCGGTATGTTGCAACTCTGCCATGAACCACCAGGCCAAACTATATTTGCTGTCAAAGGTTAAGGCCATTGTCCTGTGGAAAGCCTTGGATAACATTAGAATCAAGGTAATATTTGATGGGAACTGAGAATGATCAACGACACCAACGCTAGTGAGCTTCGGTCCGTTGCTGGCTGTGAAATCAGCGTATCATAATTTTGTTGCCAACTGTCAGGTCAATCTCTATGTGATGTCAAGGGCTAAAGCCATTGTCCTGCAGAAAGTCTTAAATAATCTTTTAACATGAAACATAAATGCTTGCAAGTGAAAATGTTTAATAACACGGACACCATTACACTTACGTCCGTTGGCGGCTGCGAAGGTAGCTTGTTATGATTTTGTTACGGTCTCATCTAGCGAGTCTATGTTAGTGACCATCCATGGCTAAGTATGATCAAGTCAAATTTCTCGTGGTATGCATAGTCATATTCGGTAGGAGCAGAATTACATCATCCTACAGCTGCGACGGCTACAATTTCAAGGACTCATGAATTCACTGATGAACTCGTCATAGTATGTACTGTCTAGTCATCGGGCGTTGCCCTCAGCAGACAATAAATTGTTTTAGAAAAAAGTACAACTCGTGGTACGAGGGGTCGAAATATGAAATATCTGGCAATTCAAAGCCATCTAGCAACTATCTATCAATACCCCAATCAACTCTGTGGTTGCCCCTGCCCCTGCTGCTGACAGGGTTACTCATCAGTAAAACCTCGCTGGTATACCTGTTCTAGATGCCACTGGCACATCCACATGCATCCCCCCTGACCTCAGCAATATTTCACACAGCATTGATGATTTGCACTCGGCTCTCTCTCTATATTTCTCCGTACATAACGTAGCCCATAGATTTACCAGTAGCATCCTAATAACGACAGTCCGAAGTTCGTGAACCATGTCTGCCGAGCAGACTGTCCGTTACTATTCGCAGCATGAAATGTGATTCGCGACACGAACATGGTCTGCGTGAGGTCTGAAGAGACAAGTCACAGACTCCGTGTTTGGGTTGTGCGGAAAGTGTCAGGACTCAGGAAGTCTGTCAAAGCCTGCCGTATTTTGTCATATCCTGGCGTCAGGCTCCTGCCCAACCGCCAGCTCTCCCACCACCACCCCTGTCGGCCTCTCCTGCCATTTCACGTCGCCCGCCGCCGTGCACACTGACGTAGATGACGGTGGGTGCCGGTGGTTGATGGTAGTGGCTGACAGACAACTCGGAACTTGCCGACTGAAGTTTCATCTCCCCAGCGGAGTCTGCGCAGATTTAACACATACCGGCCATTCCCTACATGTCATGATGTCCTCAACATGGGCGCAACCCATATTATCGGACTTCGAAAATGAGTCGCGGCAAATCGAATCGTCCACCGTCAGTCGGCTTCTTGTTCTCGACCCGTGATGCAAGTGGTTGCAATTCTCTGCTGAAATATCACTCGTCCCAAACCCTTGATGAGTTGTGAAGTGAGTTGCTATTTCTTCTGTTATCCAGACACTAACTCTTGGAACAGTTGTCTGCGACGTTTGACTATGGGAGAAATACTAACGTATAATTGATGGGTATTTAGACAAGAAGAACAAACTGCAGTAATATGCAAGGTACATGTCAATGTCCACAGGTATGAAGTCTACATGTAAATAATATGAAGGGGTCGGTACAGATCTCAAATCCTCAAGGCTATTAGTGGCTCAACTAACACATCTCCCACATTTTCACGGAATCCCTGCGACATATCTCAATGTGAGAAGACGGACAACACGTTGAGGCGCCAAACGACTCACACAATCAATGAACTACTCTCTCCATCTGAGCCCCAGGTGGGGTACCATGTGTCCTGTGCTTGCGCAAATTCCAGCATGGCTGTTTTCGAGTTATCCAGCCATGGCTTGTTGCCTGCATTATCGGGGAACCATCCGTTAGTCCCGCCAACGGCGAGGTTAAGAATGAGATAGAATGCTGTGTGTCGATCGGTAAGCTGCGCCTTCATAACTATTCATAAGAGCTTACGTTGGTCGAAAGGTGTCGCATTGGTGCCGTTGATCCAAGGGTTCTGCAGGACAATGGGCTCTGTCCCATTTTGGACCACAGAGGGAAAGTCTCCACGTGTAAAGAAGGGCTCGTTGAAGGAAAGCTCAAGCATATAGTGTAAACGAGTGTCAACGTAAATGCGACTGTCAGGTCGGTCAGAGGATTGCCTACATTCGGAAGTAACTTGAAACTCACAGGAAACTATCTGTCCACTCCAGTGTATAGGTGTGGAAATCCTCCCCATAGTCGGTGCGTCTCTGTGTCCACCAGCCGAAAGTCTTGTACACGGCATTCAAGAACGACAGGGGTCCCCAGTTGAGTGATCCGCGGACATAGTCGATACCCCTGTTAGGGAGATCAGCAATACAATCCTGGTCAGCAAATCGTGGTTTTCAAAGTGATCAGATGCCTCACTGATCAGGATAGCTGCGAGCATTTCCGCGTGATTCCATGATGTCGATTTCACCGCTCAATGGCCATGGTCCGTAGGTGTCATTCAGAGGAAGCATCCAAATTGCGGGCCAGAGCTGGAAGGCCGGTCAGTAAATAATATGGTCTTGTCCTGGCAATACAATGCTCACCCAATCACTACAAGGATCCGAAGGTAGGTCAGTCTACATATCAGATCAAAAGAGTAATACTTACCCGCGTGGGAGCTTGGCCCGTACCTCAACGCGGCCATAACGGATGCTAGCTTTGTTGCGTGTGGTGATCCTCGCACTTTGTATAGGGTTGATTATGGTGCCGGTGGTACTGTTGCTTACTGCACCGCAAGCTTGGTAGTAGGCGGTGGCGTCGAAGCCCGTGATGTTTGATGAGCCCGGATTTGCACCTGGGGTCGTGGAGTTGTACGTGCAATCGGTAAGGTTGTATGTATAACCGTTGAACACAGCATCCGAGCCGATAACGTTTGATGTCAGGGTAGGGGTTATGTAAAGGTATCCGTTGGAGGTGTATGAATTGTTTGATGACGACGTTGCCATCTCAAACTCGCCGTTCCTGGAAGAACTGTAAGCGTTTACGTTTACCCAAAGTATGGATTCGCTGACCCGAATCCGCCTAATTGGACTTCACGGACCCAATTTCCGTTAGGTCCGAAAGTTGTATCGGTGTCGGAATTAAAATCTTCATTCAAGACCATGCACAAGTTACCAGTGATCAAGGGTACGCTCTTGTAACCAAAGTAAATGCGCAAAGCGGAGGCTGCTATGCCAAGGAAAGCCACGGAGTAAGTCAAGATATAGGCAATCCTTGCATATGGGTCCTTTGTTGTGACCCAAGGTTTGTCCAAGGTGTTTGGATCTTCGAGCATGGTAGAACGCATGCGGGTTGTCTTGCTTGGAGTGAAGCTGACAGCGGTGGAGACTGCTGTCAAGGGACGAGCTGGGGGTGCTGCGAATGTTTCACGAAGACGAATACCGGAGGCCACGCGAGTGGGGCTATCTCCAGTGTTGGGGCGACTGCCATAGTATGATGTATTGCGAGGAAGTGCAATATGACGAGGTAGAGGTTCTAGACCGTCTTGTTGAGCTGTTGGGACAATGGGCATAACGGGATCGATGCTAAAGCTGACGATACTGGCGGGTGGAGAGAAAGGGTTTACGATGGAACTTGCAGCAGTTCCTGCGGTGGATGGACGAGAGTTGTTTGAAACGGAAGGAGTGGATTGGTTATGCTTGCCCTTTGTGCGTTTAGAATTTTCGCCAAGGTAGAATGGAGCTGGTGGTGGCTTGACGCCGTCGTTGTCTGCTGATGATGACATGAAGCTAGCAATTGGATTGGATGGGGAACGATTTTGTGGAATTCATTGGAACTTTAAAGGATGTAAATGATAGAACAAACTCATGCAAATGATGCCTGAGTTGACAGGGAGTATTCCCATATCTGTTTATGTTGGACAATCATTATGCGAAAGGTACCGTATCAGGGAGATTAATCGGTAGCCAATCGGAGATCCGGAGATTCGGAGATAATAAAAATGGACGAAAGCATTGCCTTGTTGGTTCGAAGTCAGGTTGATTCATGTCAATTGTATGACGTAATTGATTACGAGGAACGGTACTCGGATCCCAAGCTTTTAGAATTGAGCAGCCCTGCGGGAAGCCAATATTGATGAACTGACGCACGTGTTACGTTCCGTCTAGGGGAATCATGCAACCGACGTTCTTCCCTGCTGATCCTGCTAAACCGGCATGTGTGAGATGCCGAATCCATGTACTTGACTGAATTGCGCAATCGCATTTGCCACTGCGGGGATTGCGGGCCCAGATGTGACAATCCAATACTTACTTCTACTTCGCCGCCAGCAAATCAAGGAAGCCAATGCATCATGAGCAAGTACCAAAACCTTGCTTATCGCAAAGCACACATGCCAGAATGGCAAGGTTGATCAATGATCTAATGACTTCCTGATCAACTAGGTCTTCGTCCGCAGTCGACAGCCAGCGATAACACCAACTTGAAGCAACTGTCACAGCATTTTGAGTAAAACACGTTCCGGATGATAGGATCATCACCGTCTTTCCCTGCGATGCACGGACAAGCAACAGGTTCATTCAGGGTCAGGAGAGCTTGCAGGTTGGAAATATTTGCTTATTGATCCCTTAAGGGTTTATTCGGTAGGTACAACCAGGACGAGGGTCCGGCGAGTATTTTCTGACCGTCGTACTATTTTCAAGACCAGGCTACCAGGCTAACAGCAGGAGTCCTTTCGGTGTAAAGGGCAGCGGTGAGCGTCAACGTGAAGATGAGCTGTAAATACTTGCACTGATCTGCCAAGATTACCCTTGGGCAGATCATTGCAAGTTAGCAACAATTCGAGTAGTACCTCGGTCCCCGAGTAATGTTACGTATGCATGGTGAGGCACATACAATATTCGCATATGGGGGTTAACGTTCTCTGGTGTTTGGTACACGTCAATTTATCTTTTTTTTCCCTATCTCACGTCTTGCCAGTTGAGTTTATATTTACTTTCCGTCTCGAGGACTCTTGTTACTATTACCGATCGCGGAGCTCAATGCATCTTACGTAATACAATACAACTACTACTACTACACTAGTTATTGGCATGGATACTTACGAGCAACTAGAATGTTCGCCACCGTCATAGCCAGGCAGTGACTTCAGGACTTCATCCTTGGCCATACCGACGTCTTTAAGCGCGCAGGGGTGAGCTTTTCCAGGTCGTCGCCCGTGTATTGATCGCTCCCACATCCAAAGTCACAGGATATTCCTTGACCAAAAATATTTTCCAGGTACCCGTACAAAAGTGCCTACACTGTCGAGTAGACCGTTCCAGATATCGGGTACTTTCCAAGCCCGTTCACTTGTTCTAGTTCTTGCACTCCGAGTTGCGATTAAATCTACATGCGTATCCAAAGAAGATACCACCCCGATGAGGCACACTAGTTCCTTTACAGCATGATGCACGTCCAGGCTTTTGGCTGGCATATCCCTGTTATCATCCGTTGATGATCATCGCCCTTGCTTCAATTTGCACTGCCTGCAAATTCCAAATCGGGCCTCACACACCTAACCACTCTTATACCCTCTACAATCCTTGGACAAATCCCCAGCCAAAAATCCTCCCATATTTCTCCTCCGAGCTAGCGATCTCCTCCCCGACGCTACTTGTTATTTTTCTTCTACTTATCACCTCCGGCTTCAACAATGGCTATGGATTACGACGCCTATGATGCACTTCTGCATCATATATTTAAGCAAGTACGTATAGATTTTTTATATATCGTCTTCTCCTCATAAATTCTTCACCCCGACAGACTCAGGGTGATGCTTGGTTCAAGCCAACCGAGGAGAATCTTTCTGCCGGGGTCTGTCTCCGCGTCGAACCCGGTCACTTCCGTGTATTTCCTTACGAGAACAACTACCTTGCGCCCTTTGAGGCAGCCGTGCGCCTCTTGAATCCCGTAGTCGCAGTCAAGGTGAGGAGTGCTGCAGTTCATGCTGCATTAGCAAGTGTGTACGTCGTCTCGTCACTGTCCATTATCCGGTGACTTTCTAACGGTCCGTCTTTCGTAATATTAATAGCCCCGAAGATGCATCTGCTATCTATGTCGATCATAACACACGCATTCAGATAGTAGCTTCCATGGCCATGGTGCCACGGGCCGAGAAGGAACAGTGCGGAGCCTTTGTGGCAAGTTCCACTTCTCACTACCTCGTCACGCTTATCTGATGCTTCCCTCAGCGAGACGAGGCTGTGCTCATTCTCTGGTCTGACAGCTTAGACGACATCATACCCTTGTGCCGTGACTTTGAGGATAAGCTGATTAAGCTTGTCTGGAGACAACGCACCACTGTCTCCGCAGCTCCCTCCGACATCATACCGTCTACTGTGCCGTCGCATGACAATTTGCTAGCAACAAAGGAAGAATTGACGGAAGAGATACCTATTACTGAGAAAGAACTCACAAATAGAAAACCACAACCTAAACCGTCATCACCAATTTGGAAGATCTTCAGCTGGAGCACCACTCGTCAAGAGCACCAAGGTGACGCCGAGAAAGGCGCGAAGAAAATCCGTCGAACCAAACTCATTGCCCCATTCTACAATGGGTTGGGCTGCGGTTTATCACTCTGTAAACAACTATACACCTCAGTTATTACCAAACTTGGACTTACCTCTTTTAATAGTTTTCATTGGTACTGGTATCAGTATGCTCCTGCAGGAGTCCATGCTTGATGGCCAGTGGATTCGATTTTGTTTACTCGTCACTGCCCCGCTGTCATTCTGCGTTTCTCTGGTACGTCGTGGAAACCCAAGCCGTTTCTTAACTGAAATTGACATGTAATTTCAGTTCTTCTCTCTGCAAATTGTCGGCAATGTCGGCATGATGTAAGCACTCATTTGGACTCATCTTGATTATATTGACTGTCATTCATTTGTGCAGTATCGGTCCCGTCTCCCAGTACTATGAAAACTCCCGTTACTATTCCGCTATCAAACCCGAGGAGGATAAGGATATCGATTCGGCTCTCCCTCATGTTACTATCGAGCTTCCCGTCTACAAAGAGAGTCTTGAGCAAACAATGTAAGCTCGCAGTCGTTTCTTTTTGCTTGTATTGACAGAATTTCTATGTTTCTTAGCGCGCCGTCTGTGTATTCACTCAAAAAGGCCATGCAAACATATGCACGCCAGGGTGGAACATCTTCTATATTCGTTCATGACGACGGTCTCCAGCTCATTTCGGAGAAGGAACGCGCGGAACGTATTGCTTTCTACGCTGATCACAACATAGGCTGGGTCGCACGCCCTCCTCATGAATCCTCTGCAGATGGGTTCAAACGTGCCGGCCGGTTTAAGAAGGCATCGAATATGAACTACGGACTCGCGCTTAGCTTGAAACTCGAGAAACATCTGAAGGTACTCCTTGAAGCAGAACAACTAGGGGAGCTAGAGGACGACGGTCAACCTCTGGAGGATCGCGCTTTGAATATGGCCTGTGAAGAACTCTTCATTGAAAGTGGAGAGAAGTGGAAACCGTGGGCTTGCAACGGCAAATCCATTAGAATGGGAGAGATCATTTTGCTTGTCGATTCTGATACCATCGTGCCCGAGGTGAGCCACAGGTCGCTTCCTTTAATCACGAAACTGACGCTGTTCTAGGATTGTTTCCGTGACGCTGCTCGTGAACTTGCAGAGAGCCCCGAGGTTGCGATCATTCAACATGAATCAGGTCAGTCGACATTCGTACCCCTGTCTTGACACAACTCAATTTCGCACTTAGATGTCATGCAAGTCGCGAACCACTACTTTGAGAATGGTATTGCCCACTTCACTAGGCGAATCAACAAGTGTATATCCCTCGGTTGTGCGAATGGCGAGATAGCTCCTTTCGTGGGACACAACGCTTTCCTTCGTTGGTCAGCACTCCAGGACGCCGCGTTTGTAGACCCGGCTGATGGGGAGACGAAGATTTGGTCGGAATCAAATGTGTCCGAAGATTTCGACATGGCTTTACGACTTCAGGTACGTTCTTGCATTGTTGTACCTGACGTTTATCTGACTGATGTTATCATGTGTGCAGCTAAAGAAGTATGTCATACGGTGGGCGACATACTCCGAGGGCGGCTTCAAGGAAGGTGTCTCGTTGACGGTCGATGATGAATTGAATCGATGGCAGAAATATTCCTACGGTATGGACGAGCAATTGTGTCAACAAAATTTGTGCTGATGGCTAGCGTTTGGTAAAGGTTGTAGCGAGTTGATTTTCAACCCCCTTGTTCAATGGTGGAGGAAAGGTCCTATCAACAAACAGCTGCGTATCTTTGTGTGGTCCAATGCACCGGTCCATTACAAAATCAGTATGATGGCATGTGAGTAAGATCGACGAGAAGGTCACGACCAATATGCTGACTTTTGTTTTCGAAAGACATGTTTTCCTACTGTAGGACAAGAATTTCTATTGTACTCGTGCGATGCTCACGGATTTCATAGATGGTATCGCAGCCTCTGCAATTTTGTCGACCCTCAACTATATCCTTCTTGGACTGGCAATCGAAACAGACGGCTACTATCTTCATAGCTTTGAAGTCTTTCTCGCAATTCTCGCCGTGTTCCCTGGCTCGGGTAACGTTGGCTATACTCTTCTTGAATACAGACTTGGGCATCGTAGCATGTGGGACTCGCTTGTTGAAACCTGCACATGGGTTCCTTTCTTGTACGTCCCCGTTGCTTATCTCAGGCCTAGGCTCATGCCAATGCTCGTAGCTTTTTCTTCTTTGGCGGTCTTAGCATCCACCTTACCACCGCTCTTTTGGCCCACATGTTCTCATACAACATCACTTGGGGAGCAACGAAAAAAGAAGTCGAACGATCGAATTTCTTCATCGAAGTTCCCCGAATTCTCAAGCGCTTCTGGCTCGCCTTCACACTGTCTTTCGCCTCGTTCGCTATGATCCTTCTCTTCAGTTTTTCAAGTATTGTCGGCCCGGATTGGCTAATTCCTGGTGATTACTGGGCAGTTATTCTCCCTCTTGCGTAAGTGGTTTGTCGAGGCCGTCCTCCATATACTTAAATTTCATACAGGCTCGTCGCTGGAAGTCACATTCTTTTCCCTGTACGTACTCGTCGTTAAGATACCATTTCTCGGTAACTGACTTGAATTGCAGATTGTGCTTAACCCTTGGTTGATGATTTTCTCGTATTGAGCGGCGAGAATCTCGGATAGCCATTTGTATTGATGGACTATTGTCAACACGCTACATTTCTTGATTATTCACAAGTCTATTATAGAGGTATCATACCAAGATATCGCGATGTAATCGCAAGATCCAATCATTTATTTTCTGGTATGTAATAATCATCTGTTGTACATATTACTTCGCACACAGTACAAGGAGTACCTACATATATACTATTTTATACATTGTTTCTTGTCATGCGGCCCCGGGGCCCTAGCCTGAACTGTCCGCTGAGATTTTGATGTTGTTATCTCCGCTCCCGCGATACAGAATTACATAAGATTGCTTTAGCGCGAGGCACGATTTATAATTTTTTTTTCGAGCTTCAGCTCAAATCTTGCTTGATTCGAAAAGACTCGCATGTTACTTACACGGTCAAAATTCGCATGACATCGATGAGGCGGTGGTCAATTGGACGATCTTCCCAGGGTGTAGAGAAATTTAAACGAGGCATGGACGCATCATCATTTCGCTTCCGGCGAGTCGATCTCGTTAAACTCTTTGACTTCCGAATCTCAAGGAGCTCCGAGTCGAACCTGAGGCCTGGAACGTGAGCGCTTGAGCCTCGGGTGCCGCCACGGACAAAAAATTGCGCGGTAAAAATGGCGATTCCCCCGATCCCTCGAAGAGGAAACTTTTCATGACCGCTGCTGTAACTCACCTCATGGTCACGGCGGTAGTACTGAGTCTTTTCTATGGGATTCTGCGATTGATCAATGGACAACGGTCGCCAGTCTCAATCCGATTCCGTGGTCAACCATCTAGTCTCAAAAGTCCAGACTAGCCTGAGTTCGCTCCTCGAGGCGCTATCTATCGGAACAATCTCCCATGTTCTGGGCTCATTTTAAAATTTCGACATGTGGAACTTGATTGTTGATTGGAAAGTCGGGTGTTGTGAGGCGACACTTGCTTGAATCCTTAGGCTTTCGGTCCGGGTCGATGGCTGCCGATGCGGACGGACGTTTTAGCAACTGTCTGTCGTTGCAAAGTTGTTGCAGAGCCACTGTTATGCGCACAGCATGTTTTCGCTGAGTCGGGTCATGATACACTCCGATATTCGCTAGGCAGGCCACGACACACACCTTACGTCTCCATCAACAAAAACTGATGCGCGATAACGTCGAACTCAGCTCAGGAACTGACTTTATGCTTTGTCCTCACTTATGTGACATAACCGGCGTCATTCCCTGCTTGGCTTGCGTGATACTCACTTTATCGCGTTCTTTGGTCATCCCGCGTTGCTGATGCTCGTAAGTAACCCTTGTCTGAGCGCCACTGTCACGTTATGTTCCTTCAGGCTGATCCTAATTATATTGTCAATGATCGATTGATCCCTGGCCCCACGTCAAATGTTTCCGTTATCATCTAGGCCTCGCCAAGGGGTAGACTGATCGCTATACGTTAAACGTTGTGTAATTTTTCTGTCCTCAGGCCTGATAATTGGTGATATTTTTTACTTCCGTCACATCAAATCTCACAAGTGCAGTGCCCACTCACCCACATATATACACCGTTGTCTGGTGCCATCTGCTGTTCAGCAGACTACACGAGATGGATTATGACTCGTACGATGCTCTTCTTCACCATGTCTATCAACAGGTCAGGTGGTTTAACTTGTGCACTAAACGCGGTCCGTTATTGATATTCCCGTACCTGAACAGACACAAGGGGAGGCATGGTTCCGGCCCACAGAAGAATCTATCGCAACAGGCGTCTGTATTCGGGTGGCAGCAGGAAATTACCGCGTTTTTCCTTACAATCTGATGCTACTGGCTCCCTTTGAGGCCGCGATCAGGCTGCTCAATCCAGTCGTTGCAGTCAAAATCCGCAGCGCCGCCGTGCACGCTGCATTCAGTACAATGTAAAGATAACTTGCTCTATGCGGACCTATTCTATAATGACGGCTTCTACAGAACTGATGCAGATGCTTCGATCTATATTGATTCCGACACCAAGATACAGGTTTTCGATTCTATGAACTTGCTACCTCGTGCCGAGAAGGAGCAGTGCGCAGCTTTCATTGTCAGTCGATCCCTTTTTTCGATCTGTATGATACTAACGCGCGTTGCTATAGCGCGATGAACGAGTCATCGTGATATGGGCAGATAGTTTTGACAGTATCATACCTTTATGTCGTGAATTAGAGGAGAAACTGATCAAATTGGTCTGGCGCTTGCGTCATGAGATAACGCATGTGTACAGCACCCCGTCATCCAACGCCGCATCAGTCGTTGCTTCTGACGCTAATTTGGCAGAAAGGGATGCAGTCCTCACAGAGGCCATCCCTGTCACAGATAAAGAGCGGAACAACGTGCATTCGAAGTCATCACACAAGACATCGAGGTGGGGCTGGACTTGGCGGGTTTCACCGGAGAAGAGAGGCGCTTATCCCGAGGAATATGACCTAGAGAAGGAAGGTTCTTCTGGAAATAAAGGTTCTCGACCGATTCGTCTCTATGCCCCATTTTACTGTGGCCTTGCGACGGCGTTGTCAATATGTAAGATATATATTGTTATCTACTGCTACGTCATCTAATCTTTCCAAGTTTTCATTGGCAGCGGAGTCAGCATCCTTCTGGCTGAATGGCTTCTCGATAACAATTATAATCGCTTCATCCTGCTCGTCACATCACCCTTCCTCTTTTGCATATCACTGGTGAGAGACTGATAATATTTTCTCCGGATCCAGAAGCTGATCGCCAACTATAGTTCTTCTGTTTGCAGCTTGTGGGCAATTTATCCTTGGCGTAGGTCATTTCGTCGCTGGCATATGGATCCACGTAATCATACATTAAACATCTTAGGCTTGGTCCGGTTGCTCAATACCACGAGAATTCAAAATATTACTCCGCACTCCCCCCACCACCGAACAAGGAAGTCGATGCCGCCTTACCCCACATTACCATCGAACTTCCCGTGTTCAAGGAGAGTTTAGAACACACAATGTCAGCTCCCTCTTTTGGTAGCGGCAGATAGAATATGCTGATGTTATTGCATCAGTTCGCCCTCGGTCTTCTCTATCAAAAAGGCAATGCAGACATATGCTAGGCAGGGTGGCACGTCTGCTATTTTTGTGCATGACGACGGGCTGCAGCTCATTAGCCCCAAGGAGCGGGAAGAACGTATTACATTCTATTCTGATCACAACATTGGGTGGGTCGCGCGCCCGAAGCATGATAGCGCACCAGGCGGCTTCAAGCGCGCCGGCCGGTTCAAGAAGGCATCGAACATGAACTACGGGCTCGCGCTAAGCTTGAAGCTTGAGAAGCATTTGAAGGTGCTCGAAGACGTAGAGCAGAGGGGGGAGTTGGATAGCAGCGAATATGAGTGTCTTGAAGATATGGCGTTGGCATTGGCCATAGAGGAGGTGTATAATGAGAGTGGTGGGAAGTGGCAGCCCTGGGCAAGCAACGGGAGGTCTTTGCGCGTCGGCGAAATTATTTTGATTGTCGATGCAGACACGATCGTGCCTGAGGTAACAGACTATCTCTGCCTGACGAAGTGATGGATGCTTATTTTTTATTTCATTTGCAGGATTGTTTCCGCGATGCCGCGCGAGAACTTGCAGAGAGCCCTGACGTCGGTATTATCCAGCACGAATCGGGTATGTCTCACTTGCCACTAGTGAATGTGAGATGCCTGACACGCTCATTACCAGACGTAATGCAAGTCGCGCACCACTACTTCGAGAACGGCATTGCGCACTTCACACGGCGGATTAACAAGTGCATTTCTATCGGGTGTGCGAACGGGGAGGTGGCTCCCTTTGTGGGACACAACGCCTTTCTTCGGTGGTCGGCTCTCCAGGACGCGGCGTTCATCGATCCTGATGATGGGAAGAAGAAGATATGGTCTGAGTCGAATGTGTCCGAAGACTTTGACATGGCTTTGCGGTTGCAACTGAAGCATTACAGCATCCGATGGGCATCGTACTCCAAGGGTGGATTCAAGGAAGGCGTGTCGCTCACTGTCGATGATGAGTTGAATCGGTGGCAGAAGTATTCATATGGTAAGTCATTCTCGCTATCCAAAGGATCTCAAGCTAAGATAAGCAGGGTGCAATGAGCTTATATTCAATCCGCTCATCCATTGGTGGAAAATGGGACCGATTGCTAAGCAGCTCCGCATTTTTGTGTGGTCTGGAGCCCCAGTGCACTATAAGCTTAGTATGATGGCTTGTAAGTGTTCCTCATCGCGCATAAAATGCACTCATTCAAATCTGTGCAGATATGTTCTCGTACTGTATGATTGTTTCTTCTATTTTACGTTCGGTGAATGTTGACGCGCTATCGTATGGAAGACGGCATTGCAGCATCAGCGATTCTCTCTTTGGTCAACTACCTTTTGCTAGGCTTCCAAGTGGAGGTCGACGCGTTCTTCTTACACAGCTTTGAAGTCTGGCTAGCGTGTACTGTTGTCTTCCCCGGGGCCGGCAATCTCGGCTATACGCTTCTCGAGTACCGTCTGGGTCACCGCAACATTCTAGCTTCGGCAATCGAGAACGTGACCTGGATACCTTTCTTGTGAGTGCCAGACCTCTCTACCTTGGACAGATACTCAGAAGTACATCCTCGTACCTGATATAGTTTCTTCTTCTTTGGAGGCCTAAGCATTCACCTTTCTCAAGCATTACTCTCCCATTTATTTTCTTACAACATTACATGGGGTGCCACGAAGAAGGAGGTCGAACGATCAAACTTCTTTATTGAAGTTCCGAGGATCATAAAGCGCTTTCGCGTTTCACTGATACTATGCATCATTGTCGGAGCGGGGATGATCATACTTAGCACGTCGCTGGTGCCCGCTGGGTGGCAGGTGGATTCGACTGACTGGGCAGTTGTCATGCCGCTCGCGTAAGTTGTGTATCTGCGCTGTAACAAACTGGAACTCAAGATTACATGACCGTGCAGCATCGTTGTCGGAAGCCATATTCTCTTCCCTGTATGTCACGTTTGCTTAAGTCTCAACCTCACTTCCTCACTGACGGGAATTTGACTCATAGATTGTCCTCAACCCCTGGTTGATGATATTCTCATATTAGAATCAGTATTTGGAACTGCCTGGATGTTTTTGGGAACTTTGGGATGCATGTACACTCGTTGCTATCTTTTTACATGGACTAACACATGGTCATCCATATTTAAGAGTGCTTTGAATCTTCTTCTCCAAAGTAACTAGCTCACATGATCTAATTTGATTGGCTCTTGCGAATGTAATTGGCTTATACTTTGTCTTGTCACTCGTTAATCGTTAATTGTGGTAGAATCAATTGATTCTTGTAATATGGTCGCAGATATTCCAGTGGTTCTGTCACGAATTCCAATAGCAGTCAAGTCATTTCAGTGACTTCATGATACATTGTACTGGGAGGCCCGCACAACACTACAACAAACCAATGTTCAAAGTTATTAGAAGACCGGACCACGGATCCGGTTCGGAAAGAGGTTCTAACCGAGGCTCAGATCTGCACTGCAGTCTGCAGAGCCGGACTGGCACACTATTCGGAATGAGATGCTCGGGAGCAAGAGCTGAGGGACCCTTGAATTACGTACATCCTCATATTTAGTAGTATTTCCTCGATCACAGCTTTCAACCTTCGTCAAACACTTACCTGACGCTTACAAGCGCTCTCTATCGTGTTACCACCAACTTCTGCTTCAATTCTATCTGCGTACTAATCTAGTCTTCGAAGCTCACAAATTGACGCTCGATATCACACTTGCTAGTACTTGCCTTGGCTCCTCGTTATTGTCGTGTGCTGCATTGCAAGATATAAACGATGGCTTCTTGGTGTGTTCCTCGTCCCTCGCCCCCTAAATCATTGCCTCATATCTGTGTATTCATGCAATCAGGATTGATATAATCGCCTTTCTAACCGTAAGCATAAAACCGCCGTCCTCATTCTCCGATCGCCACTCCTAACTTGGCTGAGCCTGCAGACAACGATTCTTTTTGTGGGGACCATCTTCGGCATAGTCCTCATTGCGAAACGCCTTTCAGCGGCCGTTCAGAATACGAAGCAATCGTACGTTGAAATGTGCGCTCACCGAGTTCAAACACTCAACTGGGTTTCTGTAGTCTTCAGAACAAAGGCATCTCTATATCAGACAAGGGTGTGTCAATCAAGACGTCAAAGAGGTTTGACAGGGAAAATTACGTGGATGCGACTCAACGGTCAGTACTAGTATCACGCTGTCATTGTCGTTTCTTGCTCATGTGAACATCTTCACCGGTCATTTTGCCTTCCGACTGCGTTACTCGTATTATTTCATCATCTCTATAGCGGTATAATCAAAGTCTTAGACGCATCCAACTTCCCCGCCAGCGGCACGGATGACTCTCAGCACCACTTCAAATCTAAGTCGAGCAGCGACCTGTTATCGGCAGATAACGGCTCTCACGGCGCAAAGACATTTGGAATACGGCGAGCGCACAGCGGGGCGAGTAAGTGAGAATATGTATGAACAAACCTCTGGGCGGAGGTATGACCCTCCATGGAATTCACCTTGTGCACCAGATAGCGGCCCATGGCTGCACTGGTGCCGAAATTATTTTCAGGGAGCTATTTAGGAGCTAGGTACAATTTATCAATCTGTAATTGCGCGCAGATCAAGCGCGGGTAGTTTGGACAGTATTAAACATATGCTTATTACATTTGGAACTTCGTTTGAACTGTAATGTTGATCAAATCTTAATCATGTTTCTTGAGAGATATTCCTTTTGCACGAACATTATCAGTCTATCTTCAGTTTCCCATTCATTATGTCTGGCCAGTAATGTAGGCGGTGTCCTGGCCCGCAAAGAACGGCGCCAGGTTTGCGATATCCACTGCTGTTGCAATCTGCCCAACGGGATTTGTGCTTGGTAGTGTAGAGTGCAGTCCAGGTCAACTGATTGCCAGTGGGTGGTAGAAAGTGAACTACCAGTGGTCGAATGAAAGCTTGTCATCAGGAAACTCCAGCTATTGTATCATTTCTTCGGTGAAGGCATGCACTGCAATATTGAATAGGAGCTTTCGATGCATCCAAAAAGCTGGCCAGTGTCGACTTTTTGCTCTGTCACCGGTAATGCTGCTATAACCGAGATCATGAACGGTGTACATACCGATAATCCTTCCGCCACGCCCGCGTTTGATCATGACCCGTGCTGCAGCAAGCAAGCAGAGGAACGTCGCGCGCGCATGAGTGTTAAAGATCTCGTCGAAATCGGCGGCGAGGGTAGATATTTTGGTTTGTACCTCCTCTTATTGTAAAACATCGCATTCTACCAATACACTGCCTCCATCCCACCTTCACCTCCTCTGTGACGCTGTCGAGCTCCGTGTGCTGTGGCTTTATGTCCGCGGTGACAGTGCAGTACGGGGTTGATTGATTGATGTTGGAGTAGCAAAATTAGTCATGGAGTGGATGGTGTCCAGGGATCCGTCTTGTATGAAAAGTGAATGGATCGCTCCTGCTTTCCGCAGTTTTGAAGTTTGGAGGAGCAATCCCGCCAGGTCATCATGTTATCATCGATTTAGTATTATCCGTCAAGCATGAACATGTACAAGGCCAGGAATATTTCCCTGACTTCCCCACAAGTTCTTTTCGATCATCTTGGTGTCGCCCAAAAACTTGCCGCAAAGTCAGCCTTGTGAGAAGGTCATATAGACCAACATGTATGGTAACGCATCTTAATGAAAAGGCAAGTGAAGATTTGATCATACAAAGAGTCGGGATATACTTACACGGTTGGTTTGAACTTTGGAGACAAGTTACATTATAGTGTTATTCTAACCATAAGCATGGGATTAATCCATCCAACCTCCCCCATCAATTGTGATTGTCTGGCCAGTTATAAAGGCGGAATCTTTGCTCGCGAGGAACGATACCAAGCCCGCAATGTCTTCCGGCATTCCAAAATGCTTCAGTGCCGAATTCGTTGCTTGGAACTGCAAGGCGTTCCAATCGATTAGGGGGCGGGAGCCTCGCTGAGAAAGAGATTGATACATACATTTCGGAGCAACTCCTTGCCATCAGGAACCCCTAGCAGTTGCTCCAATGAATCTGCGGAGTATTGCACTGGATGCGTGCATGTCAACATCAGGGTACATATATAAAAGAAAGAGAAAATATATAGTGACGGATATGAGGTAATAAGGAGGAGATAACATGAACATACGGAGAGGCGTATCAATTGGTCCAGGTGCGTAGGCGTTCACAGTGATACCGTATGACCCGAGCTCACTCGCTAAAACGCAAGAACAGTAAGATAAGATGATACATTATAACCTCTGGTATACATACCGAGCGCCTGTGTGAACGATCGAACGGCAGCTTTCGACGCACAGTAAATGCCGCTTAATGCCACCCCTTTCTTTCCTGCTACCGACGACGCGCCTATGACAAAGGGTATTATTATCCAGATGCGAGACAAGGAATGGACGTGCATACTGATTATCTTCCCGCCACGCCCTCGCTTGATCATGACCTGCGCTGCGGCACGCAAGCACAGGAACACCCCGCGTACATTGGTGTCGAATATACTGTCGAAATCGGTGAGGGTAGCTATCGGATTTTGATGTTATCATCGAAAGCTAAATATCACAAGAATTAAAGACAGTGTGCTCACAGTCGACCATAGTCTTCACGAGAAGTCGTCCAGCGTTCGCTACCATCTACCCGGTTGTCAGGCGACGTTGAATTTTTCAGCAGAGGAGACACTTACAACGTCCAAACCATCAAATTCTTTCTCCGTAGCTTGCACCATGCGTTGGACCTCCTCCTCTTGTGACACATTGCATTCCAAGACAATGCATCGCCTCCCCTTCGCCCTCACCTCTTCTGCGACGCCATCGAGCTTCGTGCGCTGTGATGCTAAGTCTGCGATGGCAATGTCGAGCCCATCCTCTGCGAGCCGCAGGGCAATGGCACGTCCGATGCCCTGGGCTGCGCCGGTGATAAGTGCGACACGGGGTTGAATGGTCAGCGTTGTTGAAGAAGCGGGATCAGACATGGTGTGGAGATCTTGGGACTAGACGTCCTGATCTTTATATGATGGAGATAGGTGAGACTCGGACATACTAATATAGTGCAAGTTGAGTGGTACCTGAGGAATAACACCGGCGCGCTGACGAATCTCTTTAATCCTTCCTGAATAAGAACAACTTCACGGTCGTGCGCAGTGATATAGGCTATAGCACGCCGCCCACACCCGCAATTATGGTCCGATCAAGCGCTCACTGTTGGAAGTAAATATAAGACAGTCGACTTTTACTTCAATTACTTGGGTTACGTTGTAATTATATCTGATGGCGATTCTTTCAGTCGCGTCCCCATCGATTGTGGTTGCCAAGTCGTAGGCTGGCGTGGCGTCCTTGTCCGCGACTCGGAACCAACATTTGCAATTTCTTCCGACGGAAGTTCCAATCCGCGTCAACGAATCGTTATATGATTCATACTGTAAGGAAAATCAACCGACTGAGGTGCACAATCATGATGGGCCTGAGAGTGATGCATACACTTTGGATCAAAGTCTTGTCAGGCTATCAGAAGCCCCGTTGTGTCACGCTTGCGAACATCATGATCATTCGGCAGCGAAGTCTGATTAATATTAGCTAATCTAGTCTTTAGTTAGAAAGACTAAGTTCAACGTTCAAACGTTCAAGTGCGGTTTAGGCCTGCAGTTTTGAGCCCAGCCTTCCAGCCTCCAGCAGGCGCAATTCTGATCGAGGATCCATCGAGGGAAACCTGACTGTGCAGCCCCATCTCAAGCTTCAAGCTTCAAAGGGCTGCAATTCCGCAATTGTGGCAAAAGCTCATACACACTTGTACTACCTATGTACTACTAAAGTAACTAAACGGCAGGTTCAAATCTGTTCCGATTCATTCACAGCCATGGCATACTGGTGATTGCACGATTCCTTGTTCTCTAAAGACTTCAAACTGACTGTGTTGTTGTAGCAACACCAAATATGTGGATTGCGATAGCACATTAAATGTGAATCTGGAGATGACATTAAACTAGTGTTGGTAGGCTAGGCCTCACATGCTGGCTAGCTTTGACTAACTTTGAGCATGGAGCATGACAGGAGCATGACGAGTTTTACTCCCCGACCTATTCATATCCCAAGGAACCCCAGTACTGCAGTGCAAGTCACTTGATGACAATGCAACATGAGCGCAGCACTGGAGGACTACTCTACTTGCAAGGTTTCGGAGGTGGAACATGAAGAGCGAACGAGATGTGTGCGCTTTCTGGATCCTCCACTACTTCTATTTGCTTATGAGGGATAATTTTCTTAAGAGAGCAGGAATCAGTATCCGTTGTTAAGATACCTTGCCTAGGTCATATGGGCGTAAGAAGGGTGAAGATATAGTCATACAAACAAGTTTATTCTCTACAAGGACTCGAATGTAGTTTGCAAACAAGTTGTGTTTTTTGCAGGCCACAAGCACAAAAGTACATGATCAGTCCATCCATGATCCCCCGTCAACTGTGATAGTCTGCCCAGTGATATAGGCAGAATCTTTGCTTGCGAGGAACGACACCGCGTTCGCAATGTCTTCCGGCGTTCCAATCCGCCGCAGTGCCACACTCGTTTCATACTGTAAAGCAATTGACGCGATCAAGAAACCTTACCTCGAGAGAAATACTAATACATACACTTTGTACGAACGCCTTGCTATCAGGAAATCCTACCTGTCTTGCGAATTCTTCGGAAGAGCTTCGCACTGGATACCATGTCAGCGTCAGGATGCAAAAACTAACAAAGAAAATGGGTAGTGGATGGGGGTAGGGAGACGAAGGTGGGAGAAGGAATAGCATGGAGTAAACATACGGAGATGCGTTTCAACTGGTCCAGGAGCGTAGGCGTTCACGGTGATGCCATGTGATCCCAGTTCACTCGCTATAACGCAAGAAGGCTAAGATGAGATCAGACGGAGTAATAAAACGTCTTGAATTCACCGAGCGCCTGTGTAAATGTTCGAATGGCAGATTTCGACGCACTGTAAATACTGTTGAACGGCATCCCTTTCTTCCCTGCTACTGACGACGCGCCTATAGCGGTATTATCATCCAAAACAAAGGAACAAAGGGCCGTACATACTGATGATCCTCCCGCCACGCCCCTGCTTGATCATAGTTTGCGCTGCAGCACGCAAGCAGAGGAACGTCCCGCGCACATTGATATTGAATATCTCATCAAAATCGACGAGGGTAGCTATTGGGATATGACGACATCACGAAAACGAATCAAAGACGTGGTTAGCTTACAATCAACCAAAGGTTTCACAACGATTCGTCCAGCATTCGCTACCATCTAGAATACTATTTGTCAGGCAGTTTGATAGGTTGACGACCCACGAGACACGCACGACATCCAAACTATTGAACTCTTGCTCCGTAGCCTGTACCATGCGCTGGACCTCATCCTCTTGTGATATATCACACTCCAAGACAAGACATCGCCTCCCTTTCGCCCTTATCTCATCCGCGACGCCGTCGAGGGTCGTGCGTTGTGATTTCAGGTCTGCGATGGCAACATCTAGTCCGTCCTCTGCGAGCCGCAGAGCAATAGCGCGTCCAATGCCCTGAGCTGCGCCGGTAATGAGTGCGACGTGGGGCTGGTCTGCCTGTGCTGGAGTAGCGGAATCGGCCATCATTCAAATGTAGTACTGCAAACCAGGCGTCAGGCCTTCACTTATACTTGGATATGCTGCGGAGGGGCGAGGATGTGTCAATGATTACTGCCGAATTGATATTCAAGTTCATGATTCAACTTGTGGGGCCCAAGAGCTTCTATGCGATTTCACTACCGAAGAACAAAGGCAAGTTCCAAAGAGGAGCAGCCTTCCTAAAAACCCTCGATAGTAAGCCGAAACATATCAGAATGATCAGAAGAATCAGCAGTGTTACGAACCTTGACGCGGACGCCGCGCTGAGGCCGGATCAATGGTTATGTGATGCGCAAGGACCCTGCAGTGACAAAATCCGCAATCAAACGAGCTGGGGTACAAAAACGCGTCCTCTGCACTAATTTCGAAGCGGGAAACAGTCAATACCTCGTAGGAATGCGCAGTGTACTGTTCTGCTCTGCGAATATTGTTTCAGCCGCAAACCCTGAACCTTGGAGTTGTTGCGGAGGTAATGACGGCACAATAGCTGCGAAATTAGTTTGACTGTTTATTATCATCATAACATAATATGCATTGCGTGATTTATTTGTCTTGTTGCCGTAGTGTGCGATATGCTGTGTGGGTTCTTCCGTCCGTTGGCTTTGCCTATGGAGTTGCAATTGACATGCATTTTGTGACCAAATGCAAACCAGAATGACCGACAACATGGCGGATTGAACACATTTTAGTTTACATCGGCAACAGTCATCGCAACAAGTAGCTCACAGCGAAACTTGATAGAGCGATTTTTGGCTAGCGGCTCTGGTGGATATCACTTCACGGAGCCAGAGTTGACATTGCGCAAAACCAAATGCCATGATATGCAGATAAAAAGAACAGTGGTTTATTCCCGCACATCAGCAATAAACGTTTCCTGCAGCCCATCAACTTCCATCCTCGACTCGCCCTTGGTCAACTTGTTAGCAGCCCTTCGTGCACGCTTGCGGTCTTGTTTCAGAGACCGCCTATTCATCGCGCGACTCTGGCTCCGCACAGCGGCTTCTTCATATGCAGAAAGGTCCTTCGCGCGACGGAACCGCTTCGGTATGCGCAGTTGTACTGAAGAGTCGGTAACTCCTGCCTGTGTGACCAACGAGGGCGAACGAATACGCTTGCGGGATGACGGGATTGATAGTGCGGAAGCAGTCATGCCATCATCGACTATCATGCCAGATTCTCGTGCAGCAATGTCATTGTTGACTTCACTGTCATCCATAGCTACCTCTTCCTGCATCGGTGCATTTTCATTGAACGCGCCGGCGTCTGCTGTGCAAAACAAACCTGCGAGCTCAAACGGTTTAGAGAATGAATCGAGGATTTGTGACTGCCCGACGGTTTCTGCGCCTGTTGTGGCAGAAGGCATCGACGAGGGATGAATGGTGGGCGGGACAGAGAAATAGGGTATTTTTTGGTGATTCCAGTCCATAAGAACGTGACGTGCGGCTGAAAGTAGATCAGGGGTACCTCCCTGCAGATGTAATAGTTGTGTAAAGTGTCAGAATTCACAAAAATAAAGCTGACCTTGAGCAGGCGTCCGCTGTTCAGCGCAAGCATGGTGAGAAACTCCAGCGTGCTTGAGAACTGAAGAAGATTGTATAGTTTTCGGAGTGTCTCATGTTCTGTCCGCGCGAGGATTTCTTCCACTGAAACAGTGCGATTAGCAATCCATCCATCACGAACTGAGTTTATACCAAGAAACGCACCAACAGCGATGGGATCTTCTATATCCTCAACTTTGACTACATTTCGTAGGAGAATGCTGCCCTTTTGACTAGAGTCACCTGATTCATCTTCATCAAAAACTACACCAGGTGAATCGACGATCTTAATTCCTCGCTCCAGCTGCACGGATTGAAGGTCCTTCGTGTGACCTGGCTGTGCAGCCACTGCACAGGCCTGAACTCACATAACATGTAAGACATTCAGTACGAGTAGTAGCAAACAGATCGAGACCTTTGATCGCTTCAAAGAATTGATGAGGCTGCTTTTACCGACGTTTGGAAACCCAACAACACCGACTGTGATACTCTGTGAACTAGGTTTGAATGCTTTAAGAAGGCGCATAAGTCCGGGTGCCGTCGTAGAGCTGAGATGAGACCGTTGATTGGAGGAAGCAGAACGGAATGGGAGTGTCGGCGTGGAATGTCGCAAGTATCGCAGCCACTGTTGAGCATTCTCTTTTGAAACCAAATCTTCGTCCACAGCGCACGATGAGGAAGAGTGCAAAAACCAAATGAAACCAACATTCATACCGATTTTATTCAATACAAACACGAGCTTCTTCCCTTCACTTTCTCTCCGTCTTACCTCTTCTTCGACCAGTCGACTCCTACATCCCTCCGGATCACGAGCGTCGAGCACAAGAATGACGATGTCACTTTCATCGATTACTTTGTGTAGCACACGGACGTAGTGGCGACGAATTTGCTCCTTCGTCTTCTGTGAGGAGCCCGCATAAGATGCGGTATCCTGGTCTACGGCCTCCTGGGTCTCTGAAGCGAGAGCTGCTAGTGAAGACAGGGTAGGCTCAGCAGCCATATAGGCATCTGGATCATCAGGCTGGGGAATCGCAGGCTACGAGGGGTAGCAGCTCAAGATGAAGTAGTAATAGTTACGACTCGAATGCAACGTACAGAACTAGATTTCCGCTTCTCCGCAATCCGAACCTTTAGTTGAGGAAGCCTTGGTATTCCAGGGTCTTTCTTGAGCTCTGATGCGCAAAATTTGGGGATCGACCATCAGTGCTTGTTCTTTCTGCAATGGGTGTAGGATAAATGAGAGTGGGGACTAACTGGATTTTTGCGGTACTGACGATTTCTGGGATTCTATAGACCATCAGATGAGAAAAACATGAGCGTGGAGTGCTTTGCGTACTGTTCCTGCCCATGATAGTCGCGAATGAGAGTTTGGTATAATTCGCAAAATTCAGATAATATTTCACTGAACAAAACAAAAATAAAAGATTATCAAAAAATATACATATAGAAAACGAACCAACTACACATAATATTCTCTCTCTTCACATGTTCCTAGTCTTTCTATGCACAACTGTTTCTAATGTTGCATTTGCAGTCCAAACTTATGCATAGTTATTAGTCACTGTGAGCGCTCAACGCACTGACCAGCGGCTAGTAGTGATTATCCAAACCATACTTCAAATCGCCCGTAGAATCACACTCCTTCAAGTTCTGTAACAACCCCTGGCTGCCCACACTTGAAACCGCACCATCACACTGTCGGTCGGCAGTTTCACTTTATTGCATCAAGGTAGCCGCGGCGCTTATGCAGGCTGGCTCTTCTTGCGCATGTATGGCATGCATTATACGTGCCTCAGAAGAACCAATCACGCATCCTGATCCAACCACACATACTCAACTTCTTGACATGCCACTGACACACTCCTTGGACGCCGCCTCGCAGATTATTCTTCTATAACGTCGACATGACATTCCTGTCTCCACACCTCGCTGCGGAGTTATTTTCTAGCGATTCCATGATACGGACTCCACATTGTGAATGTAATTGCCACACTGGATACCTCAAGAGACCGTTGATGATTCAGGGATAGCCTTCATCCATGGAGATATTGGCAAGTTATTCGATCAAATTAAGCTTTAAATAAACTTTTCAGACAGAAGACCCAGCGCTGCTGCACAGTTGTCTTGTCAATTGACTTGGGATGCTGTGGCAATATAAAAACTGGACGCCCGGTAACGCCGTGGACCTAATCCGGGTGCACATCAAGCATAGCTTCCTCCATACACGGTTACGACTCCATTGGGCAGTCTATATCTTGATAGGATTATCCAACCAGCACTGGTAAACATTTGAAAGACGCAGCAGGCTGTGTGTCATGTTGTTGCAGATGGATAAGTGATCCAGGCTGTATCATGGGCATCAAAGATACAGCTGATTGCGTAGTGTTGAAGATGCTAGCACCCTGCTGACCATCATCTGTATGTACCTTTGAAGGTGAGTACAGAAGGTGTGACATCTAATGACACGATCTAGAATAGCGCGCTACGCTCATGAGGAGCCCCTGACACGAAGTTCACTGAAGTGGTGTGTAACCTGAACTCCTTCACCTTTGTCTCAGAATTAAAACCTTGATGTCATATGAAAAAGAAGCAAGTATTCCAAATTTCGGGTATGCTTAGGCGGGCCTGCCACAAACATTGGTTCCGTGTACCTATTGATCACCGGCACGCAGAATGATGAGAATTTAACATTTACATTGAATCACCGACCTCTTTTGTCACCATGCGCCCACTGAATTTTGATGATTCCCTGCGAATCACATTCAAGACCTTCACCATCCTCCTCGTCGCTCAGGCTAAACGTAGTCAAGATGTGCATCATCTAGGGCTGAATTTGAGCGCGGGTTCAGACAGTAATACTAATCGCTGCGTGCGGGGACGGTCGTATCATCATGTGGGGTTCCGATTGGAATGGACTCTTTTGTGGTCGTGGTTGTTCAGTATGCGGCAGATAGGCTATTGTTACAGCCTAACGTCATTAGACAATCGACTATTATAAAGGAGCTCAAAGAACCTGTCTGAGTTCGAATACATAGGTAACAAGATCTTATACTATCGTACCAGCGCCTTCACTTAGCTTGCCGCCTCCATCAAGTAATCACCCCGCGTCGAACCCGAGATTCGGAATAGGGACAAGGGGGCTATGCTATGATCCTTCATATGCACCGCAGCCTATTGTTCATTCATATCTGAGTCAGGCCGACACACGATGCAAGTACCAATGGACGGTGTTGGTCCGATCATCCGTCAACAGCGCCTATATCAACTGCTATGTAAGTAGACCCTGCAATTCACGAGAGCATTGATACTTACCTGTGAGTGATCCCCGGACGTTTTCAGGCTCCAAAACAGCGAAGCATCTGAGTGTGGTGATATCCTGGACGTACATGTGCGTCTGTTAGATAAGACGTAATAAACTCAGCTGATGGAAGACAGACACATATGTTCCGTATCCAGTTGGTCTGATGCTCCAAGGACACACCTCGCGCCCACAGGTGAGTGCAGCGCTTCTTTTTTGCACAGTGTTGACAGTGGCATATGAGTTTTGCGCGAAATTTCTGATGTTGTACTTGTCGTAATGCCCACTGAGTTTTTCAAGGACCCACTATAGAATGTTATTTGTTTATTTTATGTTCCTCTACATGATCCATGGGTTGGACGTACTGCGGCATTCTCTGCCCGACCATCGTTGCTTGTTACCAGGGCAGCAGTTTTGGGGCCTTGTACAACGACAAAGTCATTTGTACTAGCATTCCGAAGAGTGTAGGTCCCAGTTTTTAGGTTGCCTGAAATCGTCATCGTCGCGAAGGTGAGTGCACAAATGAACGAGTTGTGTTTCTCGAAATGGGACGGTGTGTAGAACTTTTTGATGGCAAACCTTGCATTTACCAGGCCATTCTTATAGTCATCAGAGTCAAGACACATGGTCCGAATTCCCCGATGATAATCACGGTAGTGTCGAGACAGTATATCAAATAGCATCACGAGTTAATTTTGCTCCCAGATTCTCAAGTTCAATGGACTTCGTCACGGTATGAACTCCGCATGCACAATGGAGGACCGGCATGCGGCAAATTTAAGTGGCCTCAAGGCACATAATCATTCATTCACGAAGGCGAAAATGCAGAATTGGGGTGGCGCCAAGTTGCCATCACAGGCATGATGATCGGACTCTTGCCGCGGATGCCATCATATAGTAAATGAACACAGCCATAGTATGGGTGTTGTTCCACTTCTGAACAATGGTTCGGATACATAAAAGCCGGCAGTCGAGTGGGACACCAGAAAAAAATAGAAGTGACCGGCTTACCCATCGCAAGCACAGCCTTAAATGCATGGCATGATGAGTTTTTTTATAAAAATTTTATGAATCATTTAGAACACAGAAAACAATACTACCTACACAAAAATTCTGCTGAGATCTGGCTGGACGTGACCCTGAACTATGACACCTCGCACTCTGATTTGGTACCCCAGGCCCAGTGTCACTACCCACCCAATTCCCAGCTTTCGTCCTTAGGCAGATATCTTGACAAATTCCCAGTATACGTGATGCTGTGGATTGTTGGTTAATATAGCCTGCAACGACTGATGAGCATGAGGCCACAAGTCGAGTTGAGATAAGCTTACATTTGTACCATCCCTTGTCTTTACGATGGTCCAATAGAGAGAGGGATCTGAATGAGGTGAAATGCTAGGTACCTTGCGTGTTTAAAAAACCGCGTCAATAGTGACTACGTCACTCACAGGTAGAAGTCACCAAAACCGCTGGCGGCGGGACGAATGAGCCACGGGTATGATTCTGTCCCGGAAATGATTCCAGCGCCCGCGGTGGGAGGCTCTCCCGTCTGAGCAAAAGTGTTCTGCAGGAAACTTCTGACATGATACGTGTCTTCAAGTCCTGCCAGCTTGTCCAAAACCCACTGTGAAAGAAAAGTTAGCATATAGAGACCAACTCTATGAAGGCTCACTGCAAGGTGTTCAAAGTGACTATCTTGGAGGACGATCAAAGTCGAAGTTCTCTTGGTGTCCTTGAGAGCAACGTATTGTCCGGTAGCTATATGCCTGATGTTATATGTCGCAGTCTGAAGAGTGGCCTGATCAATCATTTTTGCCAGAAAGCATAGAATATACGGTGAGCCAAAAGAGCTGAGGTAAATAACAGGTGAATTAGCGCTGTCTCGGTGTGATTGTCGCGGCCGACCATGAGGCAAGAAGCATTCTCAGGTATAGCGCTTGTATCAAGCGCCTAAGCTAGGTGCTCGTAGGAATGCTCCGCGGCAGCGAAGCGGCAAAACGGGAGCTGCCAGGAAGTACTGAGGACATCGACAAGCGCTAGGACCTGACAGAATCATCGCCGCTCTTAACTTGTTCACACGCACCTTAATTAGTCAGAACTCTCATGCTCAACTCGTACTGACTTCGACCTCGAAGTACTGAATTGATATGGCAGTTAGATCAAATGGGCATATGTGGCGTAATCTTAGACGCTCAGTCGAGTCTCGGAAGCTTAAGATAGGCACTTCGCCATCATTCCCTGTACTAATAAGTACGTAGTATAGTACGACCATGGCTAGCCAGGAGGCTAAGCTGATCAGCTGGTCGAAACTGGCGCTGAGTGCTGATTCGCCAAGCATACACAACACCGCCCTAGGGAATGCAACTGAAATTTCCAATAGAATGTCTGAATTCGTCCGTGGGAGGCCGGGGCACTAATGGTCGCCTTCCAGTTTGATGTTCAGAAGATGACTGAGGAAATACTAGCGCCCTCAGCTAATGTCATTTGATTTCCAATAGTTATCCGATCGGCAACCCTAGGAGGTATCCAGGGAACCATGTGTTATACCAGCGTCTGATAGAAGTAGCACCTCGTCTAGAGGGCTCTATTAAAGTGCAGGGTTCGTCTTTTTAGGATCCTCCGCGAGTTGAGCCCGCTTGATAGCTGATATCACTCGCGCGTGGAGTTCTTCATCAACTGTGGCTACAAAGCCATGATTCTCTCCCATTCCCCTCCCAAGTCCGAATTGGAGTGGAGCGCCCTCAGAATCCGTGATTTTGCCACCTGCCTCCTCAACGAGGATGCTTCCAGGGGCATGATCCTGCAAGTCAGGGTAACAGAATTATTAGCGCTATTAAATCATTGATTGTCAAATGACCTACCCAGATTCGCTCCTCGTAAGGCTGTTTACCGCCGATGGTAGACGCCGGCATGCGAAGATACACCGCGCCCTCTCCTCTGGCAAGACAGCAATATTTGGCCTGGCTATCCATTCCCCATTCAGTAAGGTGAAGCTCGTCAGAAACGCGTCTAATCAATGGTATATTCGTGTGCTTCGACTCTTCCGATTGCAGGACATATGACTTCTCTGAAGAAAAGAAAGGGAGTTTAATCGCACTGGTGCCAGACAAGGTGATCTGTTTGAGGAAATTAAGGGAATCATACATTTGGCACACAGAATTGGAGATTACCTGAAAGGCGCCTTGTCCTCGGACCGCAACGAAGATACAGCCCTTTTCTTCATCAGGGTTTTCAGGGTGTATTTGTATATTCGGGCATCCGATGACGCCCAGCACAACCTGGCTATTCACAATGAGAGACAAACAAACGGCATATTGGCCACCGCGCAAGAAGCCTTTCGTTCCATCGATAGGGTCAACTGTCCACATGCCTGAATGCAGGTCAGAATACGGAATTAACGACACACAACATAGCCTCACGTTTATTTGGACCACCCGTATCGTTTCCTTCATCTATCGCCTTTAACAGGGCCTCTGAACTGTGCTCGTGTTGAGAACCTAAGCCCCATTGCGCTTTCTCCCCGTCGATGAGATCTTCCCGCAATGCGTTGGTAGCTAAGGAGACCACTCGTTCCCGCAGTTTAGTATTTGATCCTTGCCGGAGGGCATCTGCACCCTCCTCGCCGACGATAGGATCTTCGGGGAATGCATTCCTCAAGACAGTGTTGATAACCGCCTGTGCGGCATAATCTCCGACTTCATAAAATTGATTAGCTACGACCCTCAAACCTGAAAGACGGAAATTGATACCTGTCACTGGTGAATCGTCTTCTTTCTTGAGGGTATCCGTTCTGTCTCGGACTAATTGATTGAACACAGTGCAAGTCACCAGACATGCTCTCCGTACTGCTGCGATCGCAACGTGTTTCTCGACTGAGAATGCTTCAGGAGACGTGAGAGACATTGATAGTAGGCGTCTTGGGATGGTTCTGAAATGAGCCTGAGCGATCAGGTGCTTGCTAGCATGGTACAACAACATACCAAGCAGTCACCTGCCTGGGGTCATCATGAGATCGTGGGATCAATGATCCTACTTTTAACTTTTGACTGTTTATTCAATTTCAGCTTCAACTTCGCAGACTGAGCTTGCATTGAATCTTTCTATCTTTTCTTCAAATCATGGAGCTTTGCGCAAAAGTCATGGCAGGGAATCCTTATGACTGACAGTACACTTTTCAATCTGTCCCGATATGTTAGTGGTTGCTTTGGAGTTTCCTAACGAGGTCGCATCCAATCAGCCTTTCGTTCTCTATCATGAGCGCACAACTAGCTAGCGAGAGCTTCTAACCTGGTATCAAGTGCTTTGGGAGCCCGGAACTAGTTCAAACTCAGGCTGCGCGTCTGTTCCGCACTGGCAATACACGTTTTTCCGCCAGTTTCCAAGCACCGGATACTTCTAGAGCCAGTAATACCAATACTGATCGATCATCTTGCCTAGTGCACAGTAGGCGCTTACTTATACCCCACATGCCTATCTGTCGAAGGTGATGTGCACGACGTGAGTTTATTATAAAGTTTAAGGGCTAAGCATCTAGTTTCCTTTAGGCTGCCGGCATACTACTGTAGACCAACGAGGCCAGCCGTCAGGATACGAGAAGTGGCATGGATTCGGTATAGCGTACTTGGAGGGTACGTTATCCCATGCGTGACTCCAAACGTTCTCTGGGTGTAATTACGCACTGGTCGCAATTTTGTTTTTGTGCCCTATGTTGTCGGCGCTGCAGCTTAGGATCCGACATAATATTCGGTCATGTCGGGTTACAGCCGCCCTTTGGCATTACAGGCCACCTCGTCAGAGAGTGTTTATCAACGCCCAGCCTAGTACCTGAAGCTATTTGGATAGGGCTTCACTCACATGCCTTCGCCATGTTGGGATGGATTTTGACTAGTCTGTTTCAGTCACCCAAATTAAGTCCGTTATCTCTCCTGCACTGAAGCCGGCTCGGCGCTTGAACCTGTACTAATATTCACCCCATTTCCGTCCTTAATCTTGATGCTCCTGACTCCTGAGTCGAGTCTATCATGCACTTCTTGCTGCCGTTGGGCAGACACGCGGCTTCTCTATTTCTGCTCTGCGGCTGGTTACACCGGTAGTCGCTGATTGATATTATGTCGGTCAAACCATATTTATGAGCCATTGAATTTCTGCACGAAAAAGAGGCCTTTTTCAGAAGGGTTACTGCAAGCTAGCTGGCGCTTCCAGAACAAGTCAAAACTTTACGAATCTTTATGCCTCACTGAAGGATCTAGATCAGGTAGCTATCTTATGCCTCTGTGCGTATATATTTCGTCTAGCGCGTATGCTAACCAGGAAATAAAAAATTTCATACATTCTCAGGGCGCGGTAAACATGAGCGATGCTTATTATGAAACAGAGGAATGCGTCCCCGATGTCAAAGCTAGCAGAACGGAGCGCCTTGAGGCCTGAGGACCGGCATTCCGTTGATGGCAAACGTTACTAGTAGGAAGTTATTTCATGCAACGTTATTGTCATCACCAGAAGCCAGCCCGATGCTGCATGACGCCGATTTGATCGATCTCCGAAACCTGCATTGAACGCAAGCTGCTGGTAACTCGGCCCTCTACCATGACGTAGGAAGGGTAACCTGACCTGTCGTGCGGTGGCCGGCCGGGCCCCCGGGCCCGTACGGTTAACGTTGTCAAAGTCCTTGTGCGTCCCTGCTTCTTGCCCCCATCAGTAGCCACGGAATTCAGTATAATGATAGACCCGTGGATGTACGGGAACTCACATTACACAAAGTGACATATACAACGGACGGCTGCAAGACTCACTTTAGTGCCAGGGGTCCCAGTGCAATGGCTGTCCGTATGTTGAATACCTCTGTCACGGTATTGTCCATGCGTGCCACGTAGGCTCGTGACCAATTGCTTCTATGTATTCATCAACGTTAACCTTGTAGCTCGTTCCTTTCTGGCATCCCTGTCATGGGATATATCATTTGCCCACAAAGAACTTCAGAAGACATGCATATATTTGGCGGACAGCTTATCTGAAGAGCTACTTCCATCGATCGTACATATATCGCAACCTCAATGTATTGACTTTGCTATTCCTTCTCCCCACCCATAAGAATGTCCTTCAAAGAGAAAATCAAAGGCATAGGGGGTAATGCTTCATACGAAGCAAAGGCTCGCGTCTTACGAGAACAGCTTGAAGCCAAGATCCCAGCCGGTCTTAAACTCCCCCCAGCAATTCTCGAGGACCCACCTCTTGATATCACTCGCATTCCTGAGACGTGTGGCTTGCTCACTGTCCAAGAGTTGGCTATCACTGAACTAGACGCGACCGCTGTGTGCCAAAAGATTGCTGCAGGCGAACTGACAGCAGTCGAGGCTGTCACTGCCTTTGGAAAGCGCGCAGCTATCGCTCATCAGCTCACAGCTTGTCTTATGGACTTCTTCCTCGATGAAGGCATTAAACAGGCGCAGCAGCTGGATGAGTACTTCCAAAAAGAAGGCAAGGTCATTGGGCCACTTCATGGACTGCCAATTTCAGTCAAAGTTAGTGCACCATCACCACCTTGCAGTCCTCTATCTCTAATTCTCGTCGTCCTCAGAGCCATTACCCACTCAAGGGGACAGTTGGGTGCGGAGGCTTTCTCGTGAATATGGAAATTTCGACGGAAGACTGCGATATGACAAGCATTCTGCGTTCATTGGGTGCAGGTATGTAATTGATCCCTGCTGTAACATGTTGTCCGTCGAACATATTATTAGTCTTCTATGTCAAGACGAATCAGCCACAGTCTGTGATGCATCTCGAATCTAAGTCTTCCTACGGTCGAGTGGTATGCCGTCTCTTGAGTATAAATTAGTTTTCCGCTCAAGTCTATTAGTTGAACCCCCACAATACGAACCTTACTGCAGGAGGATCTTCTGGTGGTGAATCAGCCCTTGTCGCCATGAAGGGCTCTTGTATGGGTGTTGGCACGTAAGTCCGTTTCCTACACATGACATGGAAACTGATATATTATCCATGAAGCGATGGTGGAGGATCCATTCGATGCCCGTCCGCCCATTGTGGTATATACGGAATCCGTCCGTCCTCTCGGACAACGCCCACCCATGGAAATCTTTGGTAGTAAGTATACCAAGCTCTGATAGAGTCACGTTGATAACCACCATAGTCAACATGGCCAGGACGGAGTTTTTGCTTCCACAGGCCCGATGTGTCGCTCAGGACGAGACATGCGACTTTTCCTTGAAGCTGTCCTTGGGGCCAATCCTTCACTTCGGGACCCAGATGTTTTACCTATTCCACTGAAAGTGCCACATCTGACCCAGAAGAAACTGCGTGTGGGAATCATGATGCACGACGGGGTCGTGATGCCTCATCCTCCAACTATCCGAGCACTGAATTTGGTGAAAGAAAAGCTTGAGGCATCGTCAGAGGTTGAGGTAGTAGACTACATTCCGTACGACCACGACCGTGGATACAGCTTAATTGTGAGTCTGGTGGTCGGTTGGGTCTAGATAATGTAACTCATGTGTTTCTAGCGCGAGCTCTACTATGAGGATGGAGGAGCTACCGTCCGACGTCTTCTAGAGGAAGGTGGAGAAGATATGCATCCGCTGACAGAATGGGTAATCAGTCCGCCACATGTGAAGAATCATGATGCCGCGCAAGTTTGGAAGGTGAGAGGTTCCGAGTTCTGCTGTTTATCGACACGGGCGTTGACCTTACTAGCTCCGTCATCAACGTGATGACTATCGGCGGGAGTACTCTGATCACTGGTGGTCCCAAAACGTCGACGTCATCGTATGCCCACCCTTCCAAGGTACAGCTAGCCCCCACGACACTACAAAATATTGGAGGTTCGTAAAAATATATCGCAGGGCGCCAGAAAATCTGACAACTCATATATTAGCTACACCGCTATCTGGAATTTGCTAGACTACCCAGGGGCAGTCTTCCCGACAGGTCTCGTCGCTGACCCAACCGTTGACATATATCAGGAGTCGCCTAGGCCGATGAGTGCGGCGGATGAATACAATATCTCCTTGTGTTAGTTGCGCTCTTACAAATTGGATGGCATGAGCTGACTATTGCGTACAGATGATGCAGCGATATTCAAAGGAGCCCCAGTGTCGCTGCAGACCGTGAGCCGAAGATTCAATGACGGTTTGGTGCTGGCGGCACAGGATGTAATTGAACGCATCCTCCAGTCTTAGAGGTGTCGTCTTTATTACACTGAAAGCATCATACGAGTCTTCAAATCCTGTATTTGTATCATTAAGCGCTGATGGTTGTTCGAATCAGGATTGTATGGTGGGTTACAGCTCGACCGCGACATTCCCGCTACTGCCGTAGCGGGTTTTTACCTTGTACCACAAGGTCACTCTCCCTGTATGTTCCCACTGTTCAACCCCGTGGGAATTCAGGCAAGTACTGCGAGCAGCGATATCATAGTACTACATTCTGGTTACAATTATAAGTACTAGAAAAAGGCCAAGCTTCGCCGGCAGCAACCTCGTGATACAAGTGCTTAAGTTTGCCACTGTTTCCTGCAAACTTGACCTGACTTTAGCGACCTTTAGCGAGTTTCTCAAAAGCTACTGTGAGTCCCACTAGTAAGTAACTGTCTAACATTAGGCTTGCCACTTGAAGCTTCGCCCCAGTGGACAATAAACAAGGATAAAAAATAAAAAATATATAGAAGTACCAGGGGTCCTAGTGCAATGGCTGGAGTCCTTGTCCGCATCAGTTGTCCCCGGCCATGTGTGGTACGCAACCAAATCATTGCTTCTATTCATCAACCTTGTGACTCGTTCCTTTCTGGCATCCCTATCATGGGGCATATCATCCTATCCACAAAGAACTTCAGAAGACATGCATATTTTTGGCGAACAGCTTATCTGAAGAGCTACTTCTCTCGATCATAGTACATATATCGCAACCTCGATGTATTAACTTTGCTATTCCTTCTCCCCACCCATAAGAATGTCCTTCAAAGAGAAAATCAAAGGCATAGGGGGTAATGCTTCATACGAAGCAAAGGCTCGCGTCTTACGAGAACAGCTTGAAGCCAAGATTCCAGCCGGTCTCAAACTCCCCCCAGCAATTCTCGAGGACCCACCTCTTGATATCACTCGCATTCCTGAGATGTGTGGCTTGCTCACTGTCCAAGAGTTGGTCATCACTGAACTAGACGCGACCGCTGTGTGCCAAAAGATTGCTGCAGGCGAGCTGACAGCAGTCGAGGCTGTCACTGCCTTCGGAAAGCGTGCAGCCATTGCTCATCAGCTCACAGCTTGTCTGACAGACTTCTTCCTCGATGAAGGCATTAAACAGGCGCAGCAGCTGGATGAGTATCTCCAAAAAGAAGGCAAGGTCATTGGGCCACTTCATGGATTACCAATTTCAGTCAAAGTTAGTGCACCATACCAACTTGCAATTATCTGTCTTGAATTTCTGCCGTCCTCAGAGCCATTACCCACTCAAGGGGACAGTTGGGTGCGGAGGCTTTCTCATGAATACAGAAACTTCGACGGAAGACTGCGATATGACAAGCATTCTGCGTTCATTAGGTGCAGGTATGTAGTTGATCCGTGCTTTAACATACTGTCGGTCAAGCATGTTCGTAGTGTTCTATGTCAAGACGAATCAGCCACAGTCTGTGATGCACCTTGAGTCCAAGTCTTCCTGTGGTCGGGTGGTATGTCATCTCGAGTATAAGTTATTTTTCAGCTCAAGTTTATTAGTTGAACCCCCACAATACAAACCTTACTGCAGGAGGATCTTCCGGTGGTGAATCAGCCCTTGTCGCCATGAAGGGCTCTTGCATAGGTCTTGGCACGTAAGTCCGTTTCCTACACATATCATGAAAACTAATGAATTACAAATGAAGTGATATCGGGGGATCCATTCGATGCCCATCCGCTCATTGTGGTATATATGGAATCCGTCCGTCCTCTCGGACAACGCCCATCCGTGGACTTCTGTGGTAGTAAGCATACCAAGCTCTGACATGGAATCGTGTTGATAACCACCATAGTCAACATGGCCAGGACGGAGTTTTTGCTTCCTCAGGCCCGATGTGTCGCTCAGGACGAGACATGCGACTTTTTCTTGAAGCTGTCCTTGGGGCCAATCCTTCACTTCGGGACCCAGATGTTTTACCTATTCCACTGAAAGTGCCACATCTGACCCAGAAGAAACTGCGTGTGGGAATCATGATGCACGACGGGGTCGTGATGCCTCATCCTCCAACTATCCGAGCACTGAATTTGGTGAAAGAAAAGCTTGAGGCATCGTCAGAGGTTGAGGTAGTAGACTACATTCCGTACGACCATGACCGTGGATACAACATAATTGTGAGTCTGATGGTCTGTTGGGTCTACATAATATAACTTATCTGTTTCTAGCGTGAGCTCTACTATGAGGATGGAGGAGCTACAGTCCGACGTATTCTAGAGGAGAGTGGAGAAGAGATGCATCCGTTGACAGAATGGGTAATCAGTCCACCACACGTGAAGAACCATGATGCCGCGCAAATTTGGAAGGTGAGCGGTTCTACTGTCTATCGACACGGGTGTTGACCTTACCAGCTCCGTGATCAACGTGATGACTACCGGCGGGAGTACTCTGATCACTGGTGGTCTCAAAATGTTGATGTCGTCGTATGCCCACCATTCCAAGGTACAGCTAGCCGCCACGACACTGCAAAATATTGGGGGTGAGTAACAGTATATAGGACCAGGCAATCTAACAACTCATATATCAGCTACACGGCAATCTGGAATTTGCTAGACTACCCAGGGGCAATTTTCCCGACAGGTCTCGTCGCTGACCCAGCCGTTGACATATACCAGGAGTTACCTAGCCCGATGAGTGCAGCGGATGAGTACAACATCTCATTGTGTTAGTCGCGCTCTTACAAATTGGATGGTATGAGCTGACTATTGCATACAGATGATGCAGCGATATTCAAAGGAGCCCCAGTGTCGCTGCAGACCGTGAGCCGAAGATTCAATGACGGTTTGGTGCTGGCGGCACAGGATGTAATTGAACGCATCCTCCAGTCTTAGAGGTGTTGTCTGTATTACAATGAAAACATCATACGAGTCTTCGAATCCTGTATGTATTTGTATCATTACGATGCTAAAGGTTGTCCAAATCAGGGTTGTCTATGTTCGAACACGTCTTATTGGTGTCGCTCAGTATCTCTTGCAGTGATTGTGCCCAGAACGCACTTGTATAGATACTGGAGGAAGATACGCGAGTCTGATCATATTCATAACTCCTATAGCGGCAAGTACTAATAATCTAACTCTGAAATTACAGGACACTCTGCCTCGACGTAACCCCGGCCACAAGTCCTTCAACAGCGTCGCCCACATTGCTTTCACCACCATCAGAAGCCTCGTTCTAACGCGAGGCCTCAAAAAGAACCCTAACCGCCTCACCGGTAGCCTGAGGCGCAAGACTAGACAGTGTCGCAAGCGGCACAAATGGTTTAACAGCCGAAGCTAAGTCTGTTGCGTGGATTCCGAGCGCGGATGCAAGCTGACTGAAATGCCCTTCAAGTTCTCCCGTCACCTCCTGACCTCTCCGCTGGTTGCGATAGGATGTATCATGTTGCCTCCCAATTCGCCCAACAGACATTCCCCACCACCCGACTTCCTCTTTCCAGTGCTTGAGCTCCACAGCCGTGATATACGTATACCACACTGTGAAGAGAAGGGCCATTGTCACCAAGGTGTATATAAAGTAATGCAAAGGTGCCTTATGTCCCGGTGGGGAGACAGGCGTTAACATATCTTTGTGTGGTCGTGAAGGCGGTAAGTCTGACTGGTTGACATGGTCAGAGCCTTCGGACAAAGAGCCTGGCAGATGTTTCTCCTTGGCTAGAGATGTGGGCGTTTCATGCGATGTTTTGGAGGAGGCACGGTCCTGTTTGGATCTTTTTCTGGTGGACATCGCGATCCTACGATTCGCAGGGATATACACGCTTAAGGAGGGACGCGAGAGGTATTTTCCTGCAATCGTCGAGGTTAATGCGACACCAAAAACTTCTTCTTGGACAAGCTTACCAAAATTTAACCTGAGGAGTACTTAGTGATGGGAGTGCTGAAGATCCGAGTTACTTGTTTTTGAGACTTGGAGGGATGCATGATGTCACCACCGCACTTTACTACTCCAACGTACAGCCACCTTCAATCCAGCCACAACTAATATTTGTACATGTTGAATTTTGAAGGGCATCTTTCACGTGTTCTATTACTTATGTAATCTATCGCACTCGACAGCCTCCTAGTAGGATCCTAAGGTTAAGCATCTGCATGTGCTGCATAATTAATTTTGGCACCCTTCATATATCATTGCAAGGGCTACGTTATTCTGATTAACACTCGGAAGTTCAGTGTATTAACTTCGGGGTTGTAATCAAGACTACTAAGCACTTCATATCCCCGTAACCACCTCACTACAGTCTCCACATAACGCCAACGTTCCGTTATGTCGTGACCTCGGTCGTAACATCTCTGTTCGTCAAGTATTGTAATTACATTGTTAAGAAACGTCGTCTTGACACGTCCGTAGTGGCCCATTATATGAAACAGCAAAGCAAGAGAAAAGTCCGGTAACATCAAATTAGAACAACAATCAAAAGGTGATATCGGCAAAGTCCACCGGGTATATCAGATGATGGGCACAGGCTGGACCACCAACGTATTGGCGCTACTTTTGTCGACAAGTGCGAAATTCTAATGAAGAGGAGAAATGTCAAGGTATGCTATGCGTGGAGAAGGTTGCAATGTTCAGGGATATAGCCCGTGTACGACCGGGAATCAAAGCATCGAGCATGCCGCAGGCGCAACCAAAGACAAGAGAAAGCAGAAATGGGACGAGGATCCTACGCCAAGAGTTTCACTGAGAAGCCAACGAATGCTGCACCTGCGGCAAGTATTCCAAAACTGTCATATAAGGCCCTGCTCGCAGCACCAGTGGAATTGGTTTTCCCAGAAGATGATCCGGACCCTGTTGAACTGGAAGACCCCGCCGTGGCAACTGGGACACCACCGGTGACTGTTGTCGTGCCGCTGATGTCTGGACAAGTGTTAATATAGATGTGACAAAAAACAGCATTGATCGTACATTGATCAAACGATGGTAGAGAGTAGTTAGTCTCGACGTATGGCTGAGTTTGATTTGTGGCAACACCCATGGGAACGAGGTACTTGAATGCAGCTTTCAGCTGGGTGTAGAACTTCATAGCCTCGGACATGGTAAAGTTGTTGAGCTCGTGTGTGAGCATGATAGTACCCCCCTGAAAGCAGTGTCAGTCCCTGATGGATGTCGATAAAACTAGGGAAAGCATTTACGGTAGCGTAGGTGCCATTTTGTGCACGAGAAATGAGGTACTCGTAGTTCTGGTCGACATCAGCAACAGTAACGTTATTAAAGCCTTCACGCCAATCATTGGAGTCATATTGCCAAATGATCGTGCGCAGGCCCAGTGCATGGGCAATGGCCCGGACCCGATCGTCGACATCACCGTAAGGAGGCTATGAATGCATTAGCCAGTTGTACGCCTGACAGTAATTAGGCTTACCCTCCAGCACGTAGGCGTCACGCCGGCCACCAACTTAATTGCTTGCATCTATAAGCTAATGTCAATAAATTTCTGACTGTGCTCGATCAAAAATCTCACAGCTAAGAAGAGGCCATTAGAAAGGAAGGTAAGGGAATGATGCTAGACAACGTACTATAGTAAAATTCTGCAAAGACTTCTTCGTTGGTCAAAGTAGTCGCTATATACACAAATGACATGATCAACCACCTAAGTATGTTTGTTCCCACGTAGCACTTACTATATTTGTGCGACCAAGTGTCTGCGCCAGTATAACATCAATGCGCCATCGCGAAAGGAGCGTGCAAAGACTCACGAACACAAATTTCATGACCATCAGCGAGAGCGCGCTGCGCCTCAAGAGGCCAGTCCATAACATTACTGCCGATGTAGAACATGGCTAAATTGTAATAAGGATACTTACAATAAAGCTGAAAACGAGCAAAACCGACGTACTGGCTTTTTGGTTATTTTGCGACAAGAAGTCGTAGAATGCATTGTGGGAGCAATTGGGTCCATCATCGAAACCATAACCTAGGGTATCAGGCTAGACAAAGTCAGTTACTGGATTATGATGAGATAGAAAAATATACCTCTGGAACGCCAGCCAGATCCGGAGGTAATCCGGCCAATTTTGGAGTAGTGCATGCGTCAAACGTCCACCAGCAATCTGGATCAGACGAAGGGTACGTAAAGCTGCTGAAATCACCAGTGGAGGCGGAAGCCGGGCTGCCATTGGGCTGAATATTTGGGATCTGGCTCTGGATGGACTGGTACTTGGCTTGAGCATTGGTGTCATTGGGGAGAATGGTCGCGATTGTCCAGATAGGCGGGAACTGGTTGGCAGCGAGAGCAGCACTAACAGGCGCGTAATAATATGGGGTGCATTCCTGATTCGGATCTGAGTTGATGAGTGGTTAGCATGGTCTTTTAACATGGCAATGGCAAAAAATGCTGGTCGGGCAAGAAACATGAAGTACGTAATTGGGCCCAGAGTGTGTGGACACAAAAAGCAAGGGCTGTTACTATGGTCATCATAGCCACATGGAAGGCCGAAGCGTTCCTCGGCTCCCTTTTCTTTGGAAATAGATAGGTCGTATGATGATGTTGTATTCAAGTGAAAAGGGCATGTTCAAATTGAACAACCCACTCGAATGGAGCGGCGTCCACCGCCTTGGGTCAATGTGACGATTCAAAGGATGCGCAGTGCGCCCAGCAATATACATACATATCCATTCCGAACCATTTTGGCTAATGCCTGTAACTCGCATGCATGAATGATGTTTTGATTCTCACCAGTAATCTGCGCCTCGCCCTGTTCAGTGGTGCGGTCCTGCGCACTGGCGGACAAAGTAAAGAGTGTGGTTGCAATGAGAGCAGAAGAGACTGCGGCCTGTGAAGCAAAGAGCGACGACCAACGCATGTTGGTTAGTTCAGGTGGTCGGAGAAACAGAAAGAGATTGCGAGTCGTCAGTTGGCAGAAGTTTAAAATTGGCGGGAAGTCGGAGGATAATCTTTCTGCAGGAATGTGGAAAATATATGAGCTGGCTAACTCCGTTGTTACAGGAATAGTGGAGGAGAAATAACACCGCGCTCGGAATAAAAGACACGCAGAAATCGGTATATATACCTGTTTGGCGACAGTCGTGCCGTTAACTGTAGGCAGCATGCATTTCGAAAGGGCAGTATAAGATCCTGCTAAAAATAAACTATCCAAAATGACCATACTACTGCCTCGTGGCCCTGATATGTATAGCCCTGTATCCAGCCTTATCCAGCGCGCACTATGTCCAGGTTGGGTAATATGGCTCTATACCGAACACTGACTCAGTGACAGTACAAGGCACTGAGCGCCGAGGTAGAATTCGAATTCTTATAGATCACTATGCTTGAGGGAGTTCATGATAGCTGCTTGGCCGTCTATGAGGCCAACAAGTCGTCGACAAAGTCATAGAAAATCTTCAAACGATACGTCAACTATTGACGTATCGGTAGAACTATTCTGGCTGAGTTTCAAAAAAATATGCTGCAATTTTAGAAGCGTTTTCGCTGAATGCAGTCAAAAAATACTTGCAAATCGGGCCACGCAGCTATTTTTATTGGCTCTCGATTTGCCGATTTGCCGCGATGCTTATTACTATTTGTATCTGTTTTCGCTACCGCTGCACGACCCGAACAAAGGTCAGCGCTCAGATCAGTACTCAGTACTCAGTCACTGACAGACCTCACTCGACTCACCATATTGGTATCACAATTGCATGCACATGCGCACCTCCGTCTAACTCCAAGCGTGATTGCGTCCCGGGATACAATCGAATTGCCCCGCTTAACGATCACGGGGTATTGCCTTCTTCCTAAATTTAGCTGGAGTCGTCTTGCAAAGTCACCGTGACAATAATAGTCTCGGGTTCGCCATAATCTTGGTCCAATATCACGAACTAAATCTGCTACGGTAACGGATCACGAACTGTTTCTCCTACTGAAGACGACTGAATTCAAGTATGTGGGCAGTGTGGAAGCATTGAAGGAAGCCCTATGTCAGCCGTAGCGATGTCAGTGGAGTGTACCTCCGCAGCAATGCTTCTCAAATGAGTCAAGTGACCCTCTGACATCGGAACAGCTTATCTACCAAGGCGCTCGTGACCTCCCTTCTCCGCCTTACAATCGTGTCCAACAGGTCTGAGTACTGAGTAACGACCCCTTAGTCTATGGAGGTTACCATATCTCACCGACACATATACATCTCTTCTGATGGTCTCGTTTGCAACTCGGTCGGTGGTGAGTTACACTGAATCCTGCGCTCCGCCTGTAAGCTTCCATGCATGCATGCTCAATTTGTTTACAATACATAGACATGTTGCAACCAAGACAGTGGGCCGCGGCGCCCGCCCGTATATGCCTCCCCATTAACTCAACATCCTCCCTCTCGTGACGCGTTCGCAAGCCCAAGTGCAAATCGAAATGTGGCAGCCATCGAGTTTGCTGCGTTCGCAAACGGCCTCACCCATCGAGACGTGGTGGTCGTCACCAACAATTACACTGGCGATCGTTTGAATTTTGGTCTAGCTATGGAGCATGCTCGTGCTAAACATGCAGGACTGAAGGTCGTGAGCATCACGGTGCTAAATGCGGACGACGTGTTGCATGTGCATCAAGCCAATCAAGATGGGAAGGCTGTGAGACAGTCGGTCTCAGAGGTCTCAGAAGAAACATATGTATGCAAGGTCCTTGATGTCTATACAACGCCCGGTGGCAAAGGGGCGAGTGTCAGTATTTCTTCATGCTTCTGTCGGTGCTCATGATAAATCCACTTGTAGCATCTACTTCAAGCGCCCCAGTCCCACACGTTCACATGCCAAGTGTCTTGGTGACGTGCTGGTTGCACACTTGCATAGCATTGGTATTGTAGTTGTACATTGTCATGTTCCTGGACACGAACCTCATTCAGGTCTTAGTTTAGGCATCATTTACACACTAACATTCGGCAATGCTCCTCAATTTCACTGCTCCACTGCCAATTGTGTGACATCAAACTCGTGCAGCTTTTCAACTGGTTGCCGATGGCCACGTTGAAGTGGGACTCGGTTTACACATTGAACCGGGCGTCCGCCGTGCACCGTTGGAATCCTCTCGTTGGTTCGCTACCGGGATGTTGTGCCTGGCGAGTTATATGGCGGAGAACGGAACAGAGCAGAGATCTACCAGGGTGAAGGTACAATATTTAGTTAAGATTGTCTTCCAGTATTAACTTCTCTTACATTTCAGGGGCCCGGGCGTGCACGTTTGATGCTGATGAGCCGTGGCTCCGTAAAGAATGATGTGATTGTGTTTTCATGATCAGAACAATCTTGACGGTGTATCGCAACTTGAAATTGGAGCAGTAGTAGAAGAAGTTCGGGGCGTTCCTGGTATGTGCATGAAATCATTCCACCAAAGTCCAAAAGTAATTTACATAAATCAGCGTTGCGAAAGATTGTTCTGTCTCGTGTTTACTGCACTCCGTGTATGACCTCGTTGCGCGTGCCTGGATTCTCAATCTCCACTACGAGCGTATCTATGATTCGAACTAACCGATTCAACTTCCATCTGCATGGCCAGGAAATGCTGATGGACTATATGTCGCTGCAGGCAACAGCGAAGACGATCACGCTCCGGGTCCTGAATGCTCCAATTGATGCCAATTCCTGGCTTTGTGTACACTCCTGGCCGGCTGTCAGAGTCACCTGCCGAAGATGAAGCGCAGGTGGAGGCCTTACTGCGAACCTTCACTTCTCCCTCTAGAATTTCTCAATCCTCGTCTGATGGGGGTTCGACTTCGCAGGGTTTGGGTATGTTAGAAGGGAAGGTAAAGAAGAGTATTAGAGGTTAAGTTGTGCTGGTCCCTGAGTCAGATGCTACGCGATTCGACGCGTTTGTGGGCGATGGTGACTGCGGAGAGACGTTTGCTGGTGGCGCTAAAGGGGTATAGTACACGCTGTTCGCTTGCCTGTGATCCTGGTCAAAATACAGCTATCCTTGCGGCCCTCGACTATGGGATGCTTGATTCAGTAAGAATAGTTCCCGCCGCATTTGTGAGTAAGGTGGGGGTAAGATACTGGAAGGGAGGTGCTGCTGGTGCTCGTGAGTTGGCTACTCTTGGACGTAAATAGCATGATTCAAAGGTTTCTGTGCTCTGACAAGTTTTACAGTCTTCTTTACAGCATGATCCTGCAATGTCCTGTGGCCTATCTTCATTAAACGCTGCTCTAACTGCGTTGGGAATACGCATATCCGTTCTTCCGGGAAATAGAACCATCGTTGATGCCCTGGCACCATTTTGTGCTGTGCTTTGTTAGGTGCTCCACTGCAAGATGCTGTCGTGGCTGTGGAAGAAGGTGCAGATCGATCAGAAGACCCGGGGAATGAAGAAACGATCGATAAGGACGGGCATTGTATGTAAGCGGTGGAGAAGGATTGGTATTCCTCCTGGCCCCGGTGCTTGGGGAATCGCCAATATCGTGGTTAGGTTTGCAAAAGATATGGCCGTGAGCCCGGATCACTAGACTACATAGAAATATCCAGGTCACATTTAAGACTACAAGGCTTAGTCCTGCACGTGACATCATCGCGGGCGCCGCTGCCGCACCCTTGTCCGTGACTGCCATGATCCACACCTTCAATCTGATGCCTCTATATTTGTGGACCTACAAGAGCTCATACGGGACCTCCTGTACGAACCTCCTGTATGAACCTTCTGTATGCGATAGCAATTTTACGTGTCCTTTTGCAGGCGATTCTCGCCACATCCTTGCCATGTATGGACAGGCTCTGATATCAGAACAACACAAGTTGCCGAATAAGTCGTCGCAGATCTCTTCTGGTTAGCACACATGAGCCTTGGGAAGTTACTTCACATTTGCACAGGGAACAGCAATTCCACTAACAGATAATTATGCGCTGATGGTTCCTGTACACGGTGTACGAAATTTCTCGAGGCTTTCTCTGATACCTGCGAGTGGCATACCCCGAATTTCAAGTTGTGGCCGTGATATGCACTGCTGTAACACGCATGTCCGGGAAGGGGCTGGTCCATAAAACCAGAGGTCATTCAGATGTCGTGTGCATCACACTTCCGGCTCTCAGATACAATCTACTACCATGAACACATTTCTCAATAGACGTGGCAGACAAACTACCTCGTTAAGGGATCCATCTCCTGATACCACATCCGGTTCCGCCAGCCCTCCAGATACGGGAGTTGACATATCATCCACCGACTATGCCCACAGGCGTAGAGAGCTCATGAAAATGATGGCTGACCTCAAATCTATGGGGTGGGTGTTTGTGGATCTGACTATACAGCTTGCTCATGCGACCTCTTACAGTGCCGAGGCGCTCATCGACTTACCATCCGTAGTCGTCATTGGTGGACAATCAGGTTTGTGGTCGCCTCCTCTTGCAACCGCAACTGTACTCAACCCAATACTTCAGCGGGAAAAAGCTCACTCGTTGAAGCCGTCAGTGGGGTACGTCAGCAGATAGTTTGTCATTTTGTCCCTCGACTCATTTTCCCCCTTATGATAAAGATCAATGTCCCGAGGGACAGCGGAACATGTACAAGGTGACCCTACCACCATCGGTCACTGCATAGGATGCTCATGCTACTCTATTCAGATGCCCCATGGAATGCACAATGTCTAGTCATGCCACGTCGTGGTCTTGCTCTATCACTTTACGGATGAGCTTTGATAGTAACGGTAAAGACATGGCAAAGACTATTACAGTGCCCTTTGGTCGAACGATTACTGATAGAAATGAGGTTGAGGTTTGGCTGCGTCGTGCCCAGTCAGCCATTCTCAACCCGAACCTCCCTTCTTCGAGTTTCCACACGAAGACCATCGAGGAACTCAGGAGCGCAAAGAATACACTAAAGTTCTCCCGAAACGTGGTGTGTGTCTCCATTGAAGACCCCGATGCGACAGACTTGTCCTTCTATGATCTACCGGGTAAGTATATGTTGATCTGGATTGAGACAATACATTTAATGTGCAATGAAGGTTTGATTCAAAATGAAGAAGCCGAGACCGTTGCCCTCGTGAAAGGTTTGGTGGAACATTACACCCAGAAAAAGAACACCATCATATTGACCACCATTCCCATGAGTGGTACGTGTATAAACTGCGAACTCCTTTGTAACCGAATCGATACGCGCCCTCTCAGATGATATGGAAAATCAACAATCCATGAGTCTTGCCAGGGCCGCAGACCCTGACGGAAAGCGAACAATTGGTATGTCGCTCATATTGCAATATGATTAAACGACTCAAATTTGTTCAGGTGTCCTTACGAAACCTGACACGCTCGGTGCAGGCGCTATCAACCAGCGCAAAAAATGGGTAGAAATCATCGAGGGCCATTCGGAGGATCACAAATTGAGGCACGGTTTTTACTGTGTGCGTCTTCCTGACGACGCCGAACGCTCACAACGCCTGTCTCGTGCTGAATTGCAAAGGCGTGCTGCTGAATATTTCGACACAACGTCGCCATGGAATGGTGTGACCGACCGTCATCGGTTCGGAATTCCAGGTTTTGTCTCCGATGTCAGCCGACTGCTCATCCAGCTGATCGAGGAAGCGTGCGTGGACCTTCTAGCTCGCTCGCAACAACAGAACTCACATTGTTTATAGTTTACCACGCCTCAGAGAAGATATCGACAAGCTCCTTGCCCAATGTAACAAGGAATTCGATGGATTACCCCCGCCACTTGCAAATGACCCACAGATCGAGGTTTTGGGACGTGTTAATACATTTTGCGACGTCTTCAAGGGCTATGTGAATGGCAGTCACGAAAACAAACGTCTTGCGCAGCAGAATCGCGCGCTCTATGCTATCTTTAAGAGGGATATACGTGGTACTGCTCCTGACTTCAGGCCTTTCGAAAAGCCGGAAGAGTATGCTCCACTGGATGATACCGAGGGGAAGATGACTCTTACTGAACGAGATCCTGGAGTGAAAACGATGGGTATATATGAGATCAGCAAAGTCATCCAAGAGTATGTTTTCGCATTTTGTCGTGGTAGTTGAATGGTAGGCTCAATCATTCATCCAGGGCAATTGGATGGGAGCTTCCAAACAACGTACCATATCAAGCAAAGGCGAACCTCATCACTGGATTCATCAAACTCTGGGCTGCTCCGTCTGAGCGCTGTCTCGCTGGTGTCAATGATGTGCTCGACCAAGTCATCGACACACTCATTGGCATCCATTTTGGACGCTTCAGAGTCCTTGAGGGTTATGTTGGGTAAGGATTGACTTCTTACCGTTATTCCCTTGGCTCAAGTTGTCTTGTCACATCAGCAATTTGATCAGAACTCAGGTTGATATCTGCAAGGCACTCGCCAAAGAGGCTGTCAAAAAAGCTTTGGATTTGGAAACTACCCCATACTATACTCAAAACACGCACTATCTTCAAACACTCAGCGAAAAATGGCTGGCCTACTATAAAGTAGTTCGCCATATACCCAATCGCGCACCGCTTGCATATGAGTCCGTTTATCGCAGCGAGCCTCCCGAGTCCAAAGCTTTGAGGGCTCTTGCAGAGGCAGGGTATACAAATCTTAGCATACCAGATCTTGCGCGTCTGTTACCTCCCGACTCGCGCGAGAAAGAGCTGATTGTGATGGCTGATGTTCGAGCTTATTATCACGTTGCCTACAAGGTGAGAGTTGTTTATAGTCTGTGTTTCAACATGTTTATCCCCCGAGCAGCGCGTCATTGACCATATTCCTCTAACGATCGAGCATGCTCTCCACCATGCCCTGGCGGAACAACTGTCGCAGAGCCTTCTTACAAGCTTGCTGACGGATGTTGCATCTGGGTCCAATTTCTCTGAGCGTATGAACGAGTTGGTCAGCGAAGACCCTTCCGTTGCTCAGAAACGCGCATCGCTCTCGACAAGAAAACAACGCCTATCAGACATTCGCCGGAGACTCGTGACTTTCGGCAATAATGTTTAATTGCTGCGAGGGGGTCGCAATGTATTTTCGTCTGTTAGACTTCCGTGCAAATATAGATCTTCCCTCTTGTTGACCTCCTGTTGACCTCTGTCGTTGTTACTGTAGTGGTCATTGTATTTTTCTGATATGTGCTCGAACGTTGTTATCCTACATACTCGTGAACAAAGCAATAGGGTTCTTTGTTCGTACTGGTACATTGTTACCTAAAACAAGGAGGCACGGCTGACCTGACTCCTTAATCGACGTCGACTGGATTCCAGGTAACTGCGCCCTCCTTCCCGCGGTCCAACGCGTCAAGCTTTGCCATGTCTGTAGGTTCGATTTCCCAACCAAATACTTGGCCGTTGGATATGATACGTTCTGGTTGCGAGGATTTGGGCAAAGGCACAAATCTGGGTATAATCAAATCAAATAAGAATATAGGCAAATACCAATCGTGCCACTTACCCCCGTTGCAAAGACCACCTGACAAGAATTTGAGCAGGATCTTTGGAGTACTACAACACATTAATCATCATGACGCAAGCAGATACAGTATATAGTCACCTTTGTAGAGAGCTCCTGGATGAGTTGGTTATCGAAAGCACCACGCACAAGAGGGGAGTAGGCCTGGACAACGATGTTGTTCTTCCTACAATATTCGACGATGGGTTTTTGCTGGCAGAACGGATGTAACTGATGACAATTTCAGCTTCCTCGTAATGGTTGTATGAGCCAATCATAGAGATGCTCACCTCTATTTGGTTCACAACAGGCATGTCTAGACCAGCCTCGCGAATCTCTTCTATGTGCTTGGCTGAGCTGTGTGACTGTCAGCCGAGAGGGTACCTATGAGCGATGATACCTACTAATTGGAGACGCCGACAGATTTGATCATCCCGTTCGCCTTGCCGTCCAACAGAGCCCTGTAGGCGGCAAGACGTGCGTCCTTACCTCCAATGGCGCTGTGGGTCAGGTATAAATTATAATACGCTAGTACCTATCTTGTAAGCCATATAAATTGTTAGGAAGGTAAGACTTGCAAGATCCAAGGTTCGCGATCGAGTCTTTCAAAGCAGCCGTCGTGCCATCATAGGTGAAATCCTCATGGAAGACCTTCGAAGCTACCGCAACAAAGAGGACCAGATATGTGAGAGGTTGATGTCCAGGAGCTTATCCTCACTGATAAAGACGTCTTCGCGCTTAACGCCACTTTTCCCTACCCCAACACCGACTTGAACTTCATTCTCGTAGTACCGGGCCCCATCAATCATTCTAATGATCTAACTGAGTTTTGAAACTTTGACTGGTCACTGATGTGCAATACCTACCGGTAACCATTTTGAAGGGCAACCCTGCAAGCTTCCGCGCATTCCTCGTTCAGGTAGACACCAAGCCCAATAGAGGGCATGGTGTGGCCTAAACGATTTGTATTGATCAGATACTACATGGAATCATGATGATAAAAACTCACCATCAGAGAGTGTAACTGTTTCAACCATGGTTTAGAGCTGGAGGGTAAAGATAATCGGGAAAGAGCTGGCTATTTATGCGAGTTCGAAACATACAGCGTGCTTGGGACTCCGCTTGTGAATGTTACACGCACGGCTTACACAGAAGCCAGCCTCTTCGTACGGGAGTTGAGATGTTGACACGAACTTCGTGAAGGCAGCCAAGTATGTCAAGCAAGCGAGCCCAACGTGGGACTCCCTGCATACTAAAGGAAGGATGTCCGAGAGCACTTCCAGTCAGTGTTGAGTAGTTAGTCAAGCACTGACTGACGATTGACTGACCCAAGATGTCGACGTCATGTAGTATGGGAATGGTGCCTAGCCTGTCGAGATGCAATAAGTAATCAAATCCGTTGAAGAGAATCGGCTCGCGAAGATGACAGGAGAAATTGTCTGCGCCAAAGATGAATTTCTCCTTTAGCTATTGGATGTCCCACAGCTGCGTGAGTCAGCTTGACACGTAAACCTCTTCGTACCTCGGCTACTAACACAGAATTGAGTTTACGCGCGTGTAAGTAAGCGATGTGGCGTAACTCTACTCGATCACACTAGTAGAGCCTTTTCACGAGCTTGCTGACCGTTGCGTCTGGGTATAACTTCTCTGAGCGTATGAATGAGTTGGTCAGCGACTCAGACCCCTCCGTTACTCAGTACTCAGAAACGAGCATCGCTCTCGACTGTTTATCAGACCCGGAGACTCGTCTGTTAGACTTCTGTTTTAGGTAGTAATGTCCCAGTACTAAAGAACCCTTCACGATGTTCGAGCACATGGCAGAAAAACACATTGACCACTACACTAACAACGACAGAGGTCAACAGGAGGTCAACAAGAGGGAATATCTATATTTGCACAAGGATGCAGCCCTGAGGCGGCTGACTAGACTCCTTAATCGACGTCGACTGGATTCCAGGTAACTGCGCCCTCCTTCCCGCGGTCCAACGCGTCAAGCTTTGCCATGTCCGTAGGTTCAATTTCCCAACCAAATACTTGGCTGTTGGATATAATACGTCCGGGCTGCGAGGATTTGGGCAAAGGCACAAATCTGGGTGTAAATCAAATAAGAATATAAGTAAATACCAATCGTGCCACTCGCCCTCGTTGCAAAGACCACCTGACAAGAATTTGAGCAGGGTCTTTGGAGTACTACAACACATCAAACATCATGACACAAGCAGATACGGTATACAGTCACCTTTGTAGAGAGCTCCTGGATGACGGGGTTGTCGAGAGCACCACACACAAGAGGAGAGTAGGCCTGGACAACGATGTTGTTCTTCCTACAATATTCGACGATGGGTTTTTGTTGGCAGAACGGATGTAACTGGTGATAATTTAAACTTCCTCGCAATGGTTTGTGTGAGCCAATTGTAGAAATGCTCACCTCTATTTGGTTCACAACGGGAATTTCTAGACCAGCCTCACGAATCTCTTCTATGTGCTTTGCCGAACTGTGTAACTGTCAGCCGAGAGGGTATCTATGAGTGATGATACCTACTAATTGGAGACACCGACAGATTTGATCATCCCGTTCGCCTTGCCGTCCAAAAGAGCTCTGTAGGCGGAAAGACGTGCGTCCTTACCACCAAGGGCGCTATGGGTCAGGTATAAATCATAATACGCTAGTATATGTCTTGTAAGCCACATAAATTATGAGGAAGGTAAGACTTACAAGATCCAAGGTTCGCGATAGATTCTTTCAAAGCAGCCGTCGTGCCATCGTAGGTGTAATCTGGATGGTAGACCTTCGAAGCTACCATAATAAAGGGGACCAAATAGGTGAGAGGTTGATGTCCAGGAGCTTATCCTCACTGATAAAGACGTCTTCGCGCTTAACACCACTTTCCCCTACCCCAACACCGACTTGAACTTCATTCTCGTAGTACCGGGCCCCATCAATCATTCTAATGATATAATTGAGTTTTGAAACTTTGACTGATGTTCAATCCTACCGGTAACCATTTTGAAGGGCAACTCTGCAAGCTTCCGCGCATTCATCGTTCAAGTAGACACCAAGCCCAATAGCGGGCATGGTGTGGCCTAAACGATTGGGGTTAATAAGATACTACGTGAACCAATGATGACGAAAACTCACCATCAGATAGTGTAACTGTTTCAACCATGAATTAGATCTGAAGGGGAAAAAGCTAGCTATTATGTGCTTGGGACTCCGCTTATGAATGTCATACGCACAGTTTACACGGAGGCCAGCCCTCTTCATATACCGGAGTTGAAACGTTGACGCGAACTTCGCGAAGGCAGCTAACTATGTCAAGCAAGCGAGCTCAACGTGAGACCTGTATACTAAAGGCTTGAAGGGTTTTCAAGAGTCGGCACTTCCGGTCAGTGTTGACCAAAATAGTGAGTTAGTCCAGCACTGACTGACAATTGACTGACCCAAGATGTCATGTATGGGAATGGTGCCTCGCATAAAGCAGCTGCCAAGTCTGTCAGGATGCAATAATCAAATCTGTTGAACGAGAGGAACGCCTCGTGAACATAACAGGAGAAATAACGCTTGTCCGCGCAAAGATGAACTGCTTCCTAAATGAGTGTCCCACGTCAGCTCGACACGTATATCCCCAATAGTGAGTCGCCCGCGTCACCTCTCTAGCCCATCAAGTTGCGACTCGACACTTGGCTTCGCGTATTACTATTCATTCCCTCGGAAACCGGATTTGAGCCAGGTCATTTTTGCCATTTGCGCCAGTGTAGTATAAGCATGGTTCATCTTTTGAATGTTCGTAGTCACTTGCCAAGTCTTAGACGGCATTTCTCCCGGGCCTGAGAGACACCATCCTTGAGCGTCATCAGATTGATTCATTTCGTTATCATCAATATTGCGTTGCGATTCAGTAACCAAAGACGATGTTTGCATTTTATATTGATGGACCATAACGTCCACACAGTCACTCCGAACAAGCCTTCGACGAACCCTACAACTCGGTCAACTCACGACTAGTAAAACAAATAAACGCCCACCAGATGGCAGAAATTGCTAACGTGCCAGGTTCCTCATCCGAGCCTTCTACATAGCCTTGCCAAAGCTGAGCGCTGAGGCTAGATATCGATGGTGCCAATAAAACCCGCTGGACATCAGCTGGGAAGAAAGCGAACATGATTTCGGTTATGAATTTCCGAATCTCTTCCGAGCCTTTGATGTGTGACACTCATGTTCACACACTGCTGGCATCACACGTAGCAGAGTCAACATCTGGCCTTCAAGTTCGTATGATCAGAAATTAGAATCATGCAAGTACATAGATCAGATTCACTATTAAGTACTTACCTGTCACGGTGATAGCCGAGCTGAATCAATGGTACGCCATGACAATTATCCCATTAGTAGGGCAATAATAGTTGTATCATCCCAGCTTCAAGTTCTTCAAAGTTTGATTCATCTTCGAAAGCTTACAACCTGCACTACATGATAGTCCTCAGTAATTGGAGTCAAATTCTCGGACTGGAACCCCTCGCACTCGTTCACACATAACCGGCCTCTCTGTTGCTTTCGTCTACCAAAGCTTTCACTGCTTGCGCAATTTCCACTGCACCCTAAAGCCAGTTATATCAGCTTTGAATCAGATGCTCAATTACAAGAAGAGGTGCTCACTGGAGTATCAGAATGGCAGCATATGGAGACTTCAGCGACATTTGCTCCGATGTCGAGCAGCTTGCCTCCGACTGTAGAAACTTTATGGAACCTCAGAAGATTTGTTACCTGCGAGATGAGAAAGGATGTGAATGAGAGGCTGAACGCTACGACTACCATAGGCTGAAGGAGGTATTCACTCGTTGGCGCACGACCTCAACGGGTACTGGGTCATGCTTCCTAAAGTCCAAGACACAGGTGAATCAAAGTAACATGCGATAGCAGACGAACTAACTTCGTTATCAACAATTTCCCCTCGTCATTGTAATCAAGGTCAGCAAACCACTCTAAACTTTTCTCGTTATTCAGTCACGCAAATCAGTACAGCAGTGACTAACCTGCAATGAACGGCACACCCAGTTCTTCTGCAGCTTGTTGATGAGCTGTTCCAGCAAGCCCCATAAAGGCTACACCTTGAGGACTGGCCGCGCTAGATTTGAAGATTTTTGTGACACCAACGACTGCCCGTGCAAGGTCGATAGAGCGTGCTGTCTGACCATAGACAGAGCCGTGGGGTTTTATCTATGGCTATCTCAGCCACTGGACCGTGGAAATATGGAAAACCATACGTGATTCATTGGAAGGCCGTAGCGTTTCAAAAACCCGTCCAATGCACCTACCTGATAGATGAAGCAGGACTCTAGCTCGTCCTGCCAAGTCGTGAATGTTCTAATGCATTCACATTGACTGATGACATTGCTTACCGGCTCAATTGCCATCTCGCGACGCCCAAAACCTTGTAAATCAGGCAAGGAAGGGTGGGCCCCGACGAGGACGTTGTTGGACCTAGCGAGTGCAACCGTCTTGTTCATGACTGAGAAGTCGCTGAGAAGATTCGTTAACACAAAGAAGTCAAAGTTGATAAGCGGGACTCAACGAAGCATGGAATCCACAGGCGACATTTGCCAAATGGATTGTCTTCATAAGACCTTCGTCGTCTCCCTGTTCGGTACTCTCTTGAAACAAATGAGACCGTGTTCATCGTGCAATACATACCATAGTGTACAACGAGAAACCCTTGTGTAGTGTTGACGTGACGAACGGCTACTTATAATGACACGACTTACCTCCCCCATATCACAGTTTACGGTAGCTTTCAATGGTTTGCTCATCGTATATATGTTTCGCGTGGTGTCCGTCCGTAAAGTCAGTGTTCACTGAGGGCAAATGGCAACTTGAAGACAATGTCGCCGATAAGCTGGATATCCTGAAAGTACTGCCAATAATTAAAAGCAGGTGACCTTATGAGTCCAGAAGACCTCGGCCCGCGGTTACACATGCTGGTGGCTGCGCCCACGACAGTGTGAAGTAGACAAGAAGCAGTGTGGATCACAAGATAAAATTGGCTCCCATTTGTATCAATGACATGCAAGCTGTCGTATATAAGCATCACATGAGCAACTGTGACTATGTCCGGAACGATGAACAACATCAATGTATAGTGTTACACCTCATTTGCTCAGCTATCAGTACTCCACCTGGATGCTATTTTCTCTTGCGGAACCCCTGTTGTATTTTCCGGGGGTGTTTCATTGCTCGGCCACACAGTCTGAACAGTTTGGTCTAACAGAACTTCATCTATACGACTGCGTGATGAGTATAATGAGTATAACATCACGAAGCAAAGCTACCTTCACCAGCGTCTGAGTTGCTTGGCCGCGCATTTCTAGCCACCCAAGATGAATGATACGCAGGCGGAAGCCTTTCTGCAGGCGCGTCATGGGGGGGAATCAACGTGCCGGCATCATCTTCTCGAATGTATGGCACCACTTCAGAAAAATTGTCATTCACAAGATATGATGCGCCAATTGACGGGTTCAAGGACTGGACCCGCTCAGGGCTCAAAGAATGTATCACCGGGAGAGTAGACTCCCCAGACTCGTGATGGCGCCGGACAGGACTTAAACTGCTGTATCCCTGAGTGGCTACTAGGGAATGTTGTGAGTGCGTGAGTGAACACATGAAGAGTACAAGCACCTGCTTCAGTATCCGTAAAGGACGCTCCATAGACAGGCGGGACACCATGTGATTGTCCCAGAAACACGGATGGCGTATCCTGGATCATGCGAGGCCGTTTACCTCGTCTGTAACAGTAAACACCACCGAGCACTGCAATTATGGTGAGCGCAGCGCCACCCACTGCACCACCGATGATGGCTGCCCGTGAAGTAGAAGTAGACGAAGCCACTGAATTAGTATTCCCAGAGCTGGTATGGAGTGCAGAGACAATAGTTGTGGAAATGAGGGAGCCACCTGCAGTAGGGGCTGTCGTAGACGTGGGGAGGGATGCTGAAGGTGAGACTTGGTTCGGGCAAACCGTGAAAGTATTGTTGTTGTTTATCGCCTGCTGTTCTACTGCATAATCCGCTGTCCATCGACTGGGTCATCGTGAGGAACGAACTACTGTCTCCTTCGAGAATTGAACTCACTAGTACCTAGCTCAGGGTCAGACAAGTACTGTGTGCGTTAAATAGACTTACCAGGATCCATCGGACCAATATGATCTATTGTACAGGAAGTTATCGATCTTGATGTTCTCATTGCACACAGCCTGTTGAATACCTGCTGGAAGCCTAAATTATACCACGCGGTATTGTGAGTGGGTGCGTTGCCTTCATTCTCAGTTTACTCACGATTGATTGGTGCTAGTACCACAGGTAGCAAGGTAAGTAGCGTATGTTCCAGGAGCTGCGGAACAAGTGAGCCGTTGCGTTGAAACAGATTTAACTCGTATTTACCCGCATCAATTCCAGCTACATCGCCCGCAACAGCATCTTCCTGGCAACTATATGTTTGGACAACTGTTATTAGCGGACCATGAAAAAGAAGGATGTGAATTACTTCATGCAGAGCATGCTTAATGCAAATGCGACAGAATTGCAGCAGCAATCCGCTAATCATTAGTTCAGCGAACGTAGTGGATTGGCGCGATGAGAAAGGACCTACAAACTTGATCATTGCACCGATCACCGGGGGTGGTCGCGCTGAAATCGCCCACTACATCTGTTTGTCAAGCGTGTCAGTGCATGCCAAAGAAAGACTTGGAAACACCCACAAGCACTGTTGCATATTTGTCGAAGCTGCTGATATGTCATGCCTAGTAACTTATTGGTAATTTGCCATCGAAATCACTGTTGTATGGACTTACAAGGTGTTTCACCAACCGCGGTTGTGTACCAATCCAGTTGACTGCTAAGACATGTCGTGTTACCGGCTGCTAAAACAACAACTGCATGATATAGAAGTAAGGGGGCAACCCATGCAAGTCCCTGCATGGTCTACGGTCTACGTGGTGCCCACAGTATTGAGGTGTGAGGGGAAAAGGCAATGGATGGTTGGCTTGACACTGGAGCATTAACTTAATAACTGTCCATCAATGGACGGCAGTGCGACGGAGCCTCGGAGGCTCTTCTTAGCAGAAGTACTTGCGAAGTACCGACCTGAAATGCCTGGCACCTGAGGCAACAATCAAGTTAAATTTGATCGGAGCACAGGCAAGTTGCAACCAATACGTACAGCCGCGGCAAAGATTTGGTGGCCGAAGTCCTTGTCGTTTTTCTCCCCGGCTTGGCTATGTGACTCATCGATGGACATTTACTACTGCTGCGAGACCTTTGCGAGGCCCACGATGTTCGACTGGTAGTAAGTATAGTCATAAGAATTAATTTTGGTCCCTACTAGATGATCATTGTTTGCTTCTAAGAATAACACCAAAAATTCACACCCAAACTTACAGAGACTTATGCCAAGCGTTCTATGGAGCTATACTACTTGAACACATGATGTCAGTCACGATGTGTGTGGCTTTGGCCCTTATCAGACTCAATTCAGACGTCAGGCTGATATATATACCAATGCCTGGAATCATGGTACGAAGAGAAGCCCGTCCCAGCACTACCACTAACATGTCACTCAATAGTGAATACGCTAACCACAAGCTATTAGTTGCAAATAGAGGAGAGATTGCTGTTCGAATCATTCGAACTGCTCAACGGCTGGGTATAGCAACGGTAGCCATCTACACCTCGTCAGACGCCCTCTCCCCTCACGTCGCCATCGCAGACGAAGCCGCTCATTTGCAGAACTACACCGGCGACCAACAGCAACTAGCATCAGAATCGAAGCTGTATTTATCCAGTGCTACCATCATTTCGATATGCAAGCAGTATCGGGTTACCATGGTTCATCCAGGTTATGGTTTCCTCTCGGAGAATGAGGAATTTGCTCTTTCTGTAGAGGCAGCCCAGATGATCTGGCTCGGTCCCCAACCAGACGTTATTCGGATCATGGGTCTAAAACACGAAGCCCGGCGTCTTGCTGCGAATGCTGGCTTGCAACTCGTTCCAGGGTCTCAAGGACTTGTAAACACTCTCGATGACGCCCTAAACATAGCAAATACGATTGGTTTTCCTGTGATTCTGAAAGCGACAGCTGGGGGAGGGGGCATGGGTCTTATTGTTTGTCAAAACGTCAGCGACCTCTCCAAGTGCTTTATCAGTGCTCAAGAAAGGGCAACTGTAAGTATGATGGTTGACGCGCTTGTTGAAGCTGAATGTACATTCCCTAGTCAATGTTTCGTAATGGGGGTGTTTTTATTGAACGATACTACCCTGCAGCACGCCATATCGAAATCCAGGTTAGTATTCGTGAAGCTTGAATTCACACTATGCTACATTTCTGCATAATAGGTGTTCGGTAATGGACTGGGTGATGTGGTACACATGGGGGAGAGGGAATGCAGTGTTCAAAGGAGACATCAAAAGGTCGTAGAAGAGACCCCAAGTCCATTCGTCACAGGTCATTCAGGTAGTTATTAAGAATGTTGATGGAGTGGCGTGTGTTGATATTTCACAGGTCTTCGTGAAGATATGTGTAATGCAGCCGTGAAGCTGTGCAGAGTTATCAAATATGCATCGGCAGGTTGGACAGCCTATGATGATCGGTGGTCCTATTTTACTTATTGCAAGTCAGGTACGGTGGAATTTCTTGTGGACGATGAGTCGGGCGAGTTTTTCTTTCTTGAAATGAATACACGTATCCAGGTGCGTACAGTTGTGATAAACATCGGGAAACCGTCCTCTAATTGCATGCAGGTCGAGCACGCCATCACAGAGGCTATACATCCTGGCCTGGACCTCATAGAAATGATGGTAGCACAAGGAATTGCACAGCAGTCTGAGGCGAGATGTCTTGATCATGCGAATCAAAGCATGATGCAAGCTATCTATGACAAGAACCTTGCTGAGTCTCGCATCCACGCCATCGAAGCCAGAGTCTATTGTGAAAACCCCTCAGAAGACTTCAAACCCAGTCCAGGCATCCTACAGTTCGTGGAATTCCCAAAAGAGGATTGGCTTCGCGTTGACAGTTGGGTATGTATGTCGCTCTGTGTCTAACACTAAAGCTTCAAATGTAAATTCTGCAGGTGTCGACGGGAACGGAAGTAACTCAATTTTTCGATCCTTTACTATGTAAATTAATCGTGACTGGTTCAACACGAGAACAAGCAGTTTCAAGAATGGTCCAAGTATTGAAAGCCTGCAAAGTCTTTGGCCCGCCAAACAACCTGGCCTACCTCGCTTCAATATGTAACAGCACTGTTTTCAAAGAAGGGAAGGCCACAACACGGTTTTTGGACAACTTTGATTTCTCCCCAAGGTGCGCGCAGTTGGATATGATCCAGATGGCTCACTGACTAGTTTATTTCAAAGCGCATTCACTGTGCTATCAGCTGGTATTGAAATGACTATCCAAGATCTACCCGGCAGGCGTATCGGGCTAGGCATCCCGCGAAGCGGCCCCATGGACTCTCAGGCATTCAGTGCAGCCAACATACTGGCTGGCAATACACCGGAGATGGAAGCATTAGAGATCGTCGTCCTCCCTGGCGCCGGATGCAAGCTGAAATTCCACAGTTTCGCTATTGTAGCGATAACCGGCAAGCCAGCAACTGTGAAGATAAACGGAGAACAGGTTTCCATGTGGGCTCGCCTCGCTGTCTCCGAAAAGGCGATTCTCGATATTGCGGGCCTCCCAGGTCCTGGGTTCAGAATATATCTAGCAATCAGAGGTGGCTTCCCTGAAGTGCCACAATATCTTGGATCCAAGTCGACGTCGATGGGCCTTGGAGGCTATCAGGTGCTCCGAATTTTATATTTGGTTGAATTTAGTTTTTGCTCACCATCCCCTCAGGGAAGATCGCTTAGGGTCGGCGATCAACTTTCCTTCGGTTCGCAATCATCATCAGAGCAAGATGAAATAGATCCGATAGCCTTCTTACTCCCCAAAAGCCTCATTCCGGTCTATCCT